TTCAAAAAACCCACACCAGGCCCACTGTGGTGGTTAGAATGACAATGGCCCCCATAGTCTCATAGGGAGTGGCTCTATTAGGAGGTGTGGCCTTGTTGGAGGAAGTGTGTCACTGGGGTGGGCTTTTAGAGTTCAAGTGATCAAGCCAGGCCCAGTGTCTGTCTTTACCTGTTGCTTGCCTACCCAGATGTGTAACTCTCAGCTGCTCTCCAGCACCATGTCTGCCATGACAATAATGGACTGTACATCTGAAGTGTAAGCCAGCCCCAGTTAAATGCTTCCCTTTATGGGAGCTGTCATGGTCATGGTGTCTCTTCGCAGCAGTAGGGACAGTCCAGCGCCGTGCCTGCCAGCCACTGTGCTTCCTGCCATAATGGTCCTGGACTCACTCTCTGAAACTACAAGCCAGTCCCAGTTAAATGCTTCCTGTATAAACGGCCTTGGTCATGGTGTTTCCTCACAGCATGGTTGAAGGTAAGACAACATAGTTACCATTTTGGTGGCTCTCAAGGTACATTTCAAAGAGTTGCTAAGGACGATTTTGTTCATCTTTGATAAGTGAAATTAGAGGGTGTAGTAGAATATTATTTTAAGGTCTGTTACTTCTGTTTATTGTAGCTGGAGTTTTCCTGCCTGGCCCACAGTCAGGACAAATCTCTCTCACCTGCCAGTCCCACAGCCACTCAGACCCGATCAAGTAAACACAGAGACTTATATTGGTTACAAACTGTATGGCCGTGGCAGGCTTCTTGCTAACTGTTCTTACAGCTTAAATTAATCCATTTCCATTAATCTATACCTTGCCACATGGCTCGTGGCTTACCGGCATCTTCACATGCTGTTTGTCATCATGGCGGCTGGCAGTGTCTCTCTGACTCAGCCTTCCACTTCCCAGCTTTATTCTCCTCCTTGTCCCGCCTGTACTTCCTGCCTAGCCAATGGTCAATCAGTGTTTTATTTATTGACCAATCAGCAACACATTTGCCATACAGAACATCCCACAGCAGTTTATGTTGCATTTGTTTAACTCTGTGAAGCTGTGTTACTGTGCCCGTCTAAAACAGCTGATGGTTTAATAAAGAACTGGCTAATAGCAAGGCAGGAGAAAGGATAGGCGGGGCTGGCAGGTAGAAAATATATATAGAAGGAGAAAACTGGGGAGAGAGATTGGAGAGCTAGGAGCCAGAGAAAGAGGACTGCAGGGGCCAGCCACACTAAGAAGCCTTGGAGTAAGAGTTTAGATTTACAGAAGTAAGAGAACGGGAAAAGCCCAGAGGCAAAAGATAGATGTGTTGATTTAAAGATAGGAAAAGCCGGCTAGAAACTAAGTCAAACTAAAGCCAGGCATTCATAAGCAAGAATAAACCTCTGTGTGTGATTTATTTGAGAACTGGGTGGTGGGCCCCCAAAAGAGTAAAAAAAAAAAAAAAAACCAACAGTAGGAGGGTGGCTCCAAAGGTGCCTTTGAGGGGACAATATGCTAAAATCAGAAAAAACTAAATTTGCACAAGGGGGTTAAGACATGTCTTTATACAGTAAATGGGGTTTCTGGTTAGATGCCTTGAAATTACAGATTTATGCTGGAAAAGGAGAAAAGCCTTTACATTTAGGTCTTAAGCATGCCTTGTTGCCTTTTAAGATTCTTTTTTTGTTGTTGTTTTAAAGATTTATTTGTTATGTAGAGTCTACATGTATGCCTGAATGCCAGAAGAGGGCACCATATCTCATTATAGATGGTTGTGAGTCACCATATGGTTGCTGAGAATTGAACTCAGGACCTCTGGGAGAGCAGTCCATGCTCTTAACCGCTGAGCCATCTCTCTAGTCCCATTTTAAGATTCTTATTGGAATCTCTCTATATAAAATGTTTTCTTTTTGTTGGTAATCTTTCACAAATGCTGTTTGTGTTGGAATTTTTTATTATGTGTATGGGTTTTTGCCTGTATGTATGTCTGTGCATAGCATGCATGCCCTGGAATGTGAGTCACAGATAGTTGTGAGCTGCCATGTGTGCTGGGAATCGAACCGAGGCTCTCTGCAAGAGCATCTGGTGCTCTTAACTATGGAGCCATCTTTCAGCCCACATTGGAACTCTTGATCCACAGCTGTCAAGATTTAATTAAACAAGACTTCGGCATGAGGGGCTCTTTCCCCTTCCTATGTCCCCACAATTTTCTTTGTCTCTCAATTCTGCCTCAATGTTAACACCACTCTAAAAAGGAAGAAGCCATGTTTAATTCTTTATTTTAATAACTCTGGCCAGGGGCTGGATTTATACCTCAGTGGTTACAATCATGTACTTGCCTTTGCAGAGGACCTGAGTTTGGTTCCTAGCTCCTACAGGGCAGCTCGTAATCCCTTCTAACTCCAGCTCCGTGGGATCCCATGCCTTCTTCTGGACTCCGAAGACGTCTTCACTCACACACACACACACACACACACCCAAAAAATTAAAAAATAATGAATCTTAAAAAATACCACATAAATTAACTATGAATGAACAAGGATCAAGAGAGGACAGGACTCAAAAGAGAGACATAAGACAGGTCATCCTTCAGGTGAGTGATTTATTAAGGGGTTATTAACTGCAGACAGTATGACATTGGTTCAAAGTGAGAGAGGCTCACACACATAGTAACAGCTTCAACCACAAACTCTCACAGTGGGGAAACCAAAAGGATATTGACTTACAGCGAACAACTGGCAGAATTATAGAGCTACTTAGACATCAATAGGCTTGAAGTTTATTGAGGATGGACGCCCCAAAATCAGGTTCCCTCAGTGCCTTGATAAATTTCAAGGAAGGGGGAAAATACCACAATTCCACCTTCCTTAGGACTGGAAATACCATGTGACACAGATGCCCCTCCTTGATTTAAGATGCCAGCCTGCCTTGAGGACTGTTAGAAGGCTGTTTTCCTGGTAAAGCATCCCTGCTCTTACAGAATTTTAACATTCAATCTGCTGTTACATGACTTTCTTCTCACGTGTGTGGGACCAAGGACAACTTTGGTAGGTGCTCCTCAGGAGTCATTTTCTTTTTTGAAAAGGTCTCCCATTGGCTTGGAACGCACTCAGGCTGGAGTGAGCTGTCTCTACCACCCCAGTACTAGCGTTATGTTACCACACTGGGCTTCTTTTTTTTTTTTTTGGTTTTTTTCGAGACAGGGTTTCTCTGTGTAGCTTTGCGCCTTTCCTGGAACTCGATTTGGAGACCAGGCTAGCCTTGAACTCACAGAGATCCGCCTGGCTCTGCCTCCCGAGTGCTGGGATTAAAGGCGTGCGCCACCACCGCCCGGCACACACTGGGCTTCTTAAATTCAAAACTTCATGCTTATGTGGCAAGCATTTTATTGACTGAGGTATTGTCCCAGAACTGTTATATTCTTTTCGGCCAAATGAATAATATCTGAGTTCTGTCTCTGGTCCTGGGTTGAGACTCAACAATCTAAACAGCCTAAATGATTAGATATATCCCTTCCCTTAAGAGTCAGTGTACATGAGAAGCTGTTACAGACTTCAGAAACTGCACCTAAATATGTAGGTTTGCACAATTGTCTGCAACCTTTGCCACTATCTACCCTCTAAGGTTTTTCTCCGCAGTAGTGCCTTTGGCCGCCGCTCACTCTGATCCTAACAAGCTTTGTTTCCTGCACTGTGCTGTCTCATCTGCATTTATTAGAAAAGGTTTTTATTTTATTTGTGCATGTGTGTGCGTATGTGCATGTGGGTGCAGGTGCCAGCAGAGGCCACAGGCATGGATTCCCCCGCAGCTGGAGGTGTAAGTGGTTATCAGCTGTCTGACCTGAGTGATGGGAACCAAACCCAGGTCCTCTGCAAGAGCAAGCACTCCATGCTCTTCACAGCGGGGCGGCTTCCTCAGCTCCCTCCTCCCAATTCTTCTGACAGACAGCACAAGTTAAGTTTTACTAAGGGAATATGTATTCCCTTTTGCGAGTTCTTAGTTTTGTTGATAAAAGAATTTTTAGACTCGGGAGGCTGGGGATCGTTTTGTAAGTTTGAGAGAAAAACAACAGGCCAGACAAGTTGTAAATCTCAGCAGCTACTGGGCAGAAGGCGACTGTGAAGAGGAAGGAAGTCCCGCCTTCTGGACAGGCTCCAAAAGGCCAGCAGGCTCAGCAGTGGACGTCTGCAAGCAGACACAGGGTTGGGGAGAAAGGGCCAGTGTTTAGTGTCAGGGCCAGTGTAGTGGGGACCTTGGCCAGTATCTGGAGAAAGACCAGAGGACAAGGAAAACTTTTGAGTTTGAACAGAAGAGGTGGTAGGCCTAGCAGTGAAGAGCCGCAGAAACTGTTCTGAGGGACGGTTTTCTGGGGTGAAACTAAAGTAACATTTCATTAAGGAAATGTTAGTCTTTTCATTGCTTGAACATGTTTTCAGGTGTATTAGCTTACCTAGGCTAGGTGGTCTCGTGGCCAGATAATTGATGAGCCCACCTGGATTAACTCTGTTTGTTTGAGACAGGACTCACTATGTAGCTCTGGTTGTCCTGGAACTCACTCTGTAGCCCAGGCTGGTCTCAAACTCACAGAGATCTGCCTGGCTCTGCCTCCAGAGTGCTGGGATCAAAGGCGTGTGCCACCCCACCTGGCTTGGATTAACCCTTAACGGATGGGAAATTATCACAATTTTAGACGCAGATCAGAATGCCATGTTTCCACCCAGGGGCAGGGGCAGAACTCAGATCTCATTCTTCTGAGTAGGAGGAAACAGTTTTCCCTTAAGGCCGATACTTCCTCTTCCCCTTTCATTTTAAGATCTTAAGGAAAGTGTTACCTGTGAGGATTTCCTTTTCTTCAGTGCTGACTGGAAACGGGAGGCGGGCTAAGGCTGATTATGAGGGAGGGCCCATCCTCAAGGGCTTCCAAGACTATTAACAGTCTACCTACTTAACAACACCACGTGTGCAATTAAGTGTAAGAATCAGACACTTGTGAAATGTCTGTCACAGAAAAGAGCAGAAAAAACAAGATCTAAGCTCGATTTTTATACAAGTCTTTATTTACAACTTGTTTAACAACTGTACACTTTTTGCAGCCTTGAAAACATTTTTTTTGTACTTGAATGGGAAAATATAGTTTGACCAAATCTTAACTTTTTTCATATACATATATTATATGCATATATAAACACTCATATATAACAAGTTGGCAGTCATAAAATCAAAATAAACTAAAAGGAAATGTAAGATTAAAAAAAAAAACCCTACCTTATGAAGGTTTCTTAGAACTTTGTTGTTGTGACTTTAGTTAAAATTTCTAACTGAAGGAGACATCTCTAACAAGTCATTTACCCCAGCAAAACAGTGGGAAAACTTGTCAATTTTAAGACAAAGTACATAACTGGAAACCTGGTAAACAGAAGGAAAAAGTCTTGACCACCATTATGTATATAATGTTGTTAAAAATGATCTTAAAGTGGACATCATTTTTGGATTATGATGACAAAGAATAAAACTACTATAAGTTCAATAGTCATCCAGAGTGGGACTATAACTAAAAATCCCTCTTAGATGGTAGAACACAAGGATGCGGAAAATCACCCGCTACATCAACTATAACATAAAGGGCAGTCAGTAATACTCAAGACTCGAGAGCAAGGCCTTACACATGGGGCTGTGGTCAGCACAACTCCAACTTCAAGATACTTAGGTGTTTTCCAGCTCATCTGAAAAAGTGAAAAAAAAAATACCATAGGGAAACAAATGTCTTCCTAGCTTTGTATTTTTGGTATTTTGAATTTCTTAATCCAAATGAGGCAGATTATTAAGCATGTTTGACTTTTGCTACCCATTACATAATAAAAGATGGGGTTATAATGGTAGGCAACTCTCAGAATGAGATAACTGTAAAACATCTGGAAATTATTTCTCAGAGTACAAGGTACTATGATTTATAGAATCTATAAATGCCAAAATCAGGGATGACAATATTTTAGTGGATTTCAATTGTAAGTAACTAAAGCCATTAAAAAACAAACTCTTATGAAAATTAAGTGCCAGATCTCTGTGTACAGTCATTTCCTACATTTGTACTAAAATGTTACTTACTTAGAGCATACTGAAAATTATCCTTAATCAGTGAGTCTTTGTAGAATACATATTCAATTAGGCTTCCATGAAAACAATAAACTAAATGCACACATATCATTTGCTCAGCTGTACTTGAATCACAGTAATACTTTCATAACTTGTTTAGAAATTAACAAGTACCTCATTATCAAGTTTAAAACAGGAGGAGAGCACTGTGACCTCTTAGCAGGAAAGGTGTCACTAAGTGTTAGTCTGACTCAACAGAATTACAACTCATGTCAGGAGTTGTGGTGCACACCTTTAACCCCAGCGCTCAGGAGGTGAGGCTGGTGGAACTCTGTGAGTTCCAGGCCAGCCAAGGCTAAAAGTGAGACCCTGTCTAAAAAAAAAAAAAAAGTGTGATTACTGAAGTACTCTAATATGCAAGGCCTTAGGTTGGATCTCCATTACTGCCAACTCCAGAAAACAACAAAAACAAACCAACGCAGCCACATACATTTAAAACAAGTCTCATAGTTTGAGTTGAGAAATTCAGATACAGCAACATAATCCTTTAAGTTAGATGAAGTACTTTAGTACAGGGAAGGAAAACAAGTTCAGATTTCCCATGTTTTCATCATCTAGTCACAAGCAGGCAAGTGCAGGGAACCAGGAAGAAAACCAAAAACCAAATCATTCGGCCCTAACTGTACCTTTGAAGTGGAAGACAGTCAAACATGAATTTAAAGCGTGTAAGGCAGAAACAAAAGGTAACTTTCATGAAATATTGAGATACAGATTTAAATAACCTAAGGCTATGATGTTTGCTAATTTTGAGAATAAGTTAAACATTTATCAGTTTCTGCTTGATGAAAACTAATATAAGCAATTAAAAAAGTATAAAAGGGAGAAATGCCTGAAGATATTAAGAAATGATTTAACTATATCAGTTGATAAAGCATTGACAATTTGTGTAAGGAAGAGTATATTAAAAAACTCAACAATATAGGTCTTTGATTTGTTCCAAGGCCAAAAAGGATGGCACAAATTCTAAGAAAGAAACACTTTTCGACTGTTAAACCCTTTAGCAACTGCTCCTTAGATGACTTGTAAGTTGACCGACAGCCTCTGTTTTCTTTCCTTTTTCTGGCGCAGTTTTCTGCATTGAAGGAATGTTCTCCACCTGCACTGCCCACTGCACATGTGTGAATACTGAACAACTGAAACATTATTAGAGTACTAAGGTGAAGACAGAATCTCACCATGTAGCCATGAATAGTTGGTCCTAACCTTGTGGGCATCCTCTTATCCCAGCTTTTCAAGTGCTAGAATTACAGGTATAAGTTACCTCTGAATTAAAATTGCCACACATGGCAGGTGACTTGGTCTTATAATCTACTTTTATGTACATTAACAAGAAGCTAGTAGATGTTAGGACACTTAGAAACTTATTCACTAAACACTTACATAGAATATATTTAAAACACTGTATATTGTTCTGTACTGGTGTAATTTTTGTTTTGTTTTTTGAGACAGACTGGCTTTGCATTTTCTACGTTGCCTCATCTGATGTCAAACTTATGATCCTGCTACCTTAGCCTGGTGTTGGGATTATGGGCGTGTGCCACCATCCTGGCTTTCTTATTTTTTTACTCTGGAAAAGAAAAAAGGTTCCTATTTCCTTGAAGTTGAATGTAGACTTCTCCATTTCAGTGTTGCATTTTTCTAGGTGATTGACTTAAGCAAACTTCATCAACAGAAAGAAACTACTACAGCAACATGTGTGTCTGTCCATCTGTGACTGAGTGTACGTGTGTGTGAGAGAGAGACAGAGAGACAGAGACAGACAGACAGAGACAGTCAGGCAAGCAGGCAGACAGAATCTGGACTGAAGTCAGGCAGGGTCTTGTGCAATCTAGCCCCACGTTCTGCTGCTGGAGCTAGGTCCAGTAGCAAACTTTTTACACCATTACAATATGTATCGCCTTTAAAACAAGGCAAAACCAAAAAATGTGTATGTTTTTCCAAGCCAATTCCCCATTTTCTGGCAGTAATCAGGGTTAACAGTCAACAAGCCACAGTACTTTTGGTCTCTAACATGACTGCTACATTCACGTTGCAAATGGGAGAGTTCTAGGTCTAAAAACTCACTCACCAGCACAAGATGAAACCTGTGCAAGACAAATTTAAGAAAATAAGCCAAGATTTAAAAAAAGTCTCTCACAGTACAATTAATATTTCTGTAGCATCTGGCATCTCTAGTGCTTCCCTTTTTTAAAATCACCTTTCCCCCATTTTTTTTAGATACTCTGACTTCTGTTTCTGGTGTGTGTGCGTGTGCGTGTGCGTGTGCGTGTGTTTCCTTCTCTTTTGGGTATTTGCAATGGTTAGAAGCAGTCTACAGGTTTTTATTTTAAGAGACGACCCCTCAAAGACAACCCCTCAAAGGGTAAGACAATCTTGTTAAACAGGAAAGTGTTTAGTTTTATTAATGAGAACGCAGTTTCAAACATGTTTGTACTTGAGAGGACTTGGTTTGCTGGCGTGAGTTCAGTGGTACAGCACTTGCCCTGGAGTGAATAGGGCCCTCGGCTAAATTCCCAGCACAAAAAACCAAAAGCCGGCTTACAGTGTGACCAGTTGCCCAACCCATGTATAAATGTATTTCCAGACTTTGACTCCTGACAGTGAGGTGTCAACAGGAAATGTCAAATTGAAGCAGAAGAGGAAAGGAAGAAGATAACTTAGTATCAGTCAAGTACTGAATACTTTGTAGTGAAGTATGAACACCCTAGACTGAGAGGCTGGCAGATAACACTAAGATGCTGTCAAAGACAACAGACTATAGAAAGGATAATCCGTGATCAATGGGTACATCAAGAACATGGGTTCTTCCACGGCTTTGACAACACAACTGCTACACTCACCACTCTGTCAGGTCAGCGCTCTCAAGTGCTCAATGACCTCGGCACGTGTTAGGACCGTCAGTGTGCTCAATGACCTCGGCACGTGTTAGGATTTGTCTTGTACTCACTCGCTTGTTCTTCTCATAATATTTAATTCCTTTAAGTCCCAAGCAGATACAATTCAGGTTTTAAGAGCCCTATAGGTGGAAGTTTTGAGATAATAGGCACCTACAATTTCATCTTCAGTCAGAAACACCTGCCTGTGGCCTGTGGTAATGCATCAGATACATAACGGCTTACTTTGAATGTGTTTTTAAAAGCCTACTTTTCTCTTCATTTACAGACATTTTGTAGAGAGGTACAATGTATAATTAAGGGGGACATAAAATTAAGACAGTGGTTTTTAAACTATATAAGGTATGATATAGATACCTGTTGGGAAGTTGATGATAATTTTAGCCATCATAGATTCTTTTTTCTCATCAAAGTTTTCTTAACATCCTAATTCACTGTGTCAGACTTAGTAATAACTTCTTAATAGTTATAAAAAGAAATGTTTTCCCTCCCACTAACATACAAGCTATATGCTTAGTTAATACTCACCAAAAGACAATTAGAAATTAGTTTGGTCTACTCTTTTATCAGACAGATGTGTAATAATGATAGACTAATTTTGTTGGCTATACCTTAAGGGACTATCTAATAAGTATCTAATAAGATACTGTTTGAGTATGTCTCTTTGTCTAAATATTTGTTAATTAGTCTCCTTCTTATGCCAATATTCACTCTACTCTTTATAATGGGTTTGTCTTAATAGCCATCTATTACTTTCTTCAATTTCTATTTTCACTTACATACTACATTCAGACTTAACCTTACAGTATATTAGTAAAACTGTAAGAAAACAGAAAAATAATATAAAGAGACATGTAAAGGAAATCTTGGTATGTCTAGTTTTAAATATGCATGTATATATATACATATACACACAGAAATATATACATATGTAAGATTTATATACACATATATAAATCATATGCATTTATGGACCCCCCCCCCCCCCCAGTTTCCAAACTTCATATACAAGCCATAATTAGGTTCAGGCCTCTCATTTCTCAAACCAATGTCCTTGTTCTATTACTTTACTGTAATTGGAAGAGTCCACATATATTCATATTTTAAAACATTAACTAGAGAATTTATGGTTTTCTACTCACAATGATAACATAAATAAGACTGATGAAAAGCTGTCTTTTTCTTTTATTGGGTTTTTCTTTTTTTCTTCTTTTTTTTTTTTTGACACAGGGTTTCTCTGTGTAGCCCTGGCTGTCCTGGAACTCATTCTGTAGACCAGGCTGGCCTCAAACTCAGACAGCCTCCTGCCTCTGCCTCCTGAGTGCTGGGATTAAGGGCATGCGCCACTACAGTTGACTTGAAAAGCTGTTTTAAAATAATCAGAACACACTTTCCATGACATAATTAATGACTTAAAAGCAAGAAATGCCATTACATTGGGTTGTCTTTCATCTTATAAACATTACACTAAACATAAGATTAATAATTCTAAGTGACAGAAAGGGAAGAAGTTATCGTGTTATTAGCAAGTGAGTTAGCTATTAGCAAATTATTTTATGTTTTGTAGACTTCTGAGAGCTGTACAGTATTAAAAAACTTAGAATATTATTGTGCTAAAGTTGGACAAATATTCAATAAAAAGCATACATCACTTAAATATTCATTTCAAAAAGTAAAAAACTGTGAGATGCATTGAGAGTAGCCTTCCTCCTATCTCCCCCCAAAAAAAGAAAAAAAATCATAGAATATTCAAATCAGTTTAAAAGAATAAGTTCTGAAACCCCTTTCTAAATAAAGAAAATAAAATTTGCTACACACACACACACTGTGCACACCTTTAATCCTAGCATTCAGGAGGCAGAGGCGCTCTGTGAGTCCAAGGCCAGCCTGGTCTACAATAGTGAGTTCCAGGACAGCCAGGGCTATGTAGAAAGACCCTGTCTCAAAAAAACAAAACAAAACAAAACAAAAAAGAAAAACCCCAAATAAACAAAAAAAGGGTTGGATCACTTTTAATTCTGACAGCACTATAGTTAACAAAGTTACTTTTATTGGATAGAAAACCCCTTTAAGTTATGAAAAGAAAAACAGAACATGATAAAGTAATTTTTATAGATCTAGATATTCCACTTTATTTATGCATTTATATATTTAGTTCATTCATCAGTACTAGGGACTGAATGTATGGTCTTGAGTACGCTAGGTAACAGGCCTGGCTTCCCATTCTATTTTGTTTGGCACACTCTTTTGTTTTTTGAAACAAGGTCTCCCAGGCTAGCTTCCAACTTGCATTTTTTTTTCAGCCTCGGATTCCCAAGTTCTGGGATTACCCTATGTTTCACTGTTAAATACAAAGCTGAATCAGGTTGATGGTAATCTAAAGGAGAAAGAAATCTCTTCACAATATGAGGATAAAAAGTCCAAATATTTGGGGCTGGAGAGATGGCTCAGTGACTAAGAATGCTGGCTGTTCTTGCAGAGGACCCAAGTTCCACACAGGGAGCTCACAACCACCCATAACTCCAGCCCCGGGAGATTGGATGCTCTCTTCTGGCCTCCGTGGGCACCTGCACATATCTCCAAATCCTCTTCCCCCAAGTTAAAAAATATTAAGTCTTAAAAAAAAAAAGGTCCAATTATTCTTCCATGGCTTAATGAACAGAAAACCAAAGGCATTTGGTACTAAAGTGATTCCACCTTAGCAAAAAAAGATGCTACATATGTCTCTCTCATTGTGGGGTTCAATTATGTTCTTAACTCAAGTGGCTGGAAGCCAAGTTTCTACGAGATATGGACTGTGGATGTTCAGGACCACATCTCCCAACTGGCCATAATTACAGCATTTGTGTACCATGAGACCTGAACAAATGAAGGGAAAGGTGGGGAGTAAAGAAGACACTTTAAAATTTGTTTTTATTAAAGATAACTCAACTGAAATATTTTAAAGCTTAAAATATGGTTATTGATAGAACAACAGATCAGTGCTTTTATGAGAGCAAGAGATTCTACAAAAGAACTATATACATTTTTTTTTCTTTTTCTTTTTTGAAGAAAGATAGAATCTCATGTAGCCCCAAGTGGCCTCAAACTCTCTACAGGTATATACATCCTTCTTATATGATGCTAGGGATTGAATCCAGCACTTCAAGTCTATTAAGCAAGTGCTATACCAAATAAGCTGCATCCTAGTCCTCAAGAACATTCCCCTTTACTTAACAAGACTGAAAGATCTGCTATTGAAAAGGTGAGTAAAACTGCTCATTGAGTACACTTTCTTTTCACCAAGACCTAACTTAGACTTAATCCCTAACTTTCATATAGTTGTACAGCATGGGTCTGTAACAATTAATGAAATCAGACTGGTAGTTCTGACTAATTACATTTAGCTTGACTTGCCAGGTAGTGGTGGTGCATGCCTTTAATCCCAGCAATTAGGAGGCAGAGGAACGTGGATCTCAGAGTTCAAGGCCAATCTGGTCTACAGAGTGAGTTCCAGGACAGCCTGGGCTACACAGAGAGAAAACCCTGTCTCAAAAATCAAAAGAACCAATTATCTTGATTGTGCAACTGGGCTCTAAATACATTAACCAAACTTCAAGAAAATTGGATGATATTATCCACATAATTTAATTATCACATTAAGCTAATTTTACCAAGATAACAAATAATTCAATCCTGATTAAGTTTGAATATGAATCAATTATTTAGGGACTTATTTTTATATCATTAGGTAATCAGACAAAAGAAAACTATGACCCAGTTTAAATTTTCTTTTTATAGATTTGTATTATGTGCATGAGTGTTTTGCCTGCATGCATGCTTGTACACACACGTGTGCCCAGTGCCTGTGGAGGTCAGAAGATGGCACACGAGTCCCTGGAATGCAGTTACAGATGGTTGGTCATATGCTTCTGTGTGGGAACTGAACCTGTGTTCTCTGGAAGAACAATAAATGTTATTAAATGCTGAGTCAACTCTCCAGCCCTAGTTTTTAAAAACTATTTTCAAATATGTGCAAGTGTATTAGCTATTTTCATTTCAGATGCAAGAAACTATTACATTTACAGGACTGTTTCCCTATTCTAATCTTCAATGTATAATATGGAACACAAATGGTCATTTTTTTAGTATTTGCTTTGCCTTTTCTTTTTGGTAAACCCTGGTGAGCTGGCACAGAAAATAAGCTTGTTATAAGAACCTCACACAATGACACTGTTCCACTGTCCCCATTCTCTTGCTAATGCCAGGACAAGCTACACAAGCTTAGGAGGCTTCGGGAAAGTAGCATGAAAGAAGCGTGTGAAGACACAGTCCAGCATCACTGACCACACATCATCATCAGAGTACCCAAAACATTCTTGATCACTATTGGAGAAACTGTGACCCCCTAACTCCTGACCTAAATCACACAATGGAAAAGCTGCCACTGCTATATTTAGGTTTATTTGTGGCTTTATGATGCCTAAAGTCTATGCTTGGATGCTGTTTCTTATGAAAGCATGCTTTATTTTATTCTGAAATATCATGAGATATTTCTTCCACTTACTGAATGAAATCCCCCAAACATTAAAGATACAGCAAACAACAGTGAAGGTTTTAAACACTGAAATTAACACACAGCAATGCTGAAGAAAACCAGAAGCTAAACTTCCTTCCGAAAGCTTGCAGCATTTCCAAAACATCTAGAGAAAGTATCTGGGTAGGTGGGTGTGCACATAGAGAGGGCAGGTAAATAGAAAATGAAAATCGAAACGTTGCGATGTTTTTACCTCATGGGTAAAGTATGGTTGAAGAGCAGCTTCCAGAGTCTCTTGTTTTCACAGTCACTTTATTCTATAAGTATAATGTCTCAACAACCAGTATTTTATTAAGTGTAGGGATCATAGACTAACTTGTTTTAAAAAATGCCCGAGTCTTAGATATTCTGTGAACTAAAGGTGGAGTGGGAACTATTTTAAGCTATTTTTAATCTTTTAAAACATACTTATTTGCGTGTGTGCCGACAACTGTGTGAGTGTGGAGGTCAGAGGACCTCCTGGGGAGGAGCTTGTTCCCTCACCATCTGGGCCCCAGGAATCCCATGAGCAGAAGTTGTCAGCCTTGGCAGCAAGTACTCTTTTCCAGCTGAGCCATTTTGCTGGGCCCAATTTTTAATCTTTTATTTTCAAACTTGATACATCATGTAGGCATGGCAGCACACACCATAATTTCAGCCTCTTGGAAGGCAGAGGCAGGAGGATGGTTTTGAGTCAAAGGATTAGAGGGTAACAAGGCTAGATTGTCTTGAACTAAAAACAAAAGCAGACCTAAAAGATCGGGTCTGTTTGCCCCGAAACCCCATAGTGCATTGTCCTCACAGAGCGAGCTCTCCACTATTTCTAATCCTCGCTGCTTTATGGTCTTCCTAGGCAGATGCCTCCTACTGTGCTCAGACACTTGCAGTGAATATTTTTTAAAGAAATGCCGCACAGCGCATGCTGTCATTTCTTTATGTCCTAATACCTTTCTTCAAGAATTGTTTCTCAGGGAAAAAAAACTTTCTAAGAGCTGAGTATGGTGGTTCACGCCTATAATCCAAGAGGATCACATGTTCAAGGCAGCCTGGGTTACATAAAGACTCCGTCTGACAAAACAAAACAAAACATGCAGGACAAATGTTTCTTATAAAGGAGGAGGGAGCTAAAATGAAGCACTTGCATATAGTTTCTGAAAATTCTTAATCTCATTCAACTTGAATTAAAGTTACTGCCTTTTATACAAAACTAAACAGCACCAGCACTTCCAAACAGTAAGTACATCAAATACATCTTCCACGTAGATGACTTACCTAAAGACAACAAATAACCTCTGACCTCATTTCAGATTTCTTTTTCTTTTTTTTAAATGTGATGATTTGAAACAAGAAAAAGGCTGGAGGAAACTTAAATATAATTTGAGATCAAATACATAAATCAATATGGAAAAAGACAAAAGGTATATTTTCAAATAAATGATAGTTTAAAATTATATAATACCTTATATAGACAAAGTGCTTCACAGTGATTGCTTAACAGGCATTCATCTATGTAAATAAATGTGGCATACAACGTAAGCAATTTGAACAACCAAATACCCAAGAAAATCTCTCCAGTTACCAATTCTTGGACTCGTAGGTAGAGTTAAACACTGTAAAGAGATCTGTCATAATATTACACAGAGAAATGCATGTACTGATCTTAATGAATGGTATTAAGATGTTAACTATCAAGATTAATTGAGAAAAGGAAAGGCTCACAGAATATATAACAGAATATATAAAACATATGAGGCATAAGTCAAAGAACTGCCCCAAAGATAAGGCTACCTATATGAAAAATAAATCTTTTACATGTAGAGAGCAATTAAAAGTGCGTGGCTAGAATCTGATTCTTAACTATGAAGATATTCCAAAGGAAGAAAAAAATCCTGCCAAATTTTATCCTCCGTAATGTCTACCCAAACATCTTCATCAACTTCACTTCTGCCAGCAAGCATGACAGCAGGAGATAAGTGACAATTCACACATTCATGGTTTGAAAATGAAGTCTTCGAATAAGTTTAATTTCTAGTAAAATAACATGAAAACTCCTTTCTTCCCTCTGAGGGATCCTGCCAGGTGCCATGTGATCTGACTAGTGCCTCTGCCAATGTACTTCTTTGCAAAAGTGCACTCGATACCACTTTATATAGTACAGTAAATATCTAAGTTATCTGAAGTGCATTTGAAAAACAATTGAAAACACAGATTACTACACCATAAAAAGATTAATTCCCTTTAAACAAAGACAGTCTTATAAAGTATGGTAACACAGTAGGCACGATAAAGAATATAAATTGTGTATCAATTACTGGCAGAAAATCTGATTCTTTACAAAGCCCACACAAATGGGGAAGAAGACATTTTCATACAAAGAAAAGTATTACACTATTATACAACACTTTTAATTGTACATTTACAAATTTTTGGCACATTAAAAGGAACTGAAAAGACTATAAAGCAAAGGACAAAGAAACTAAAAGATACAAGACAAAAAAATCCTCATGTGAGAAACACTAAATATTAACACAAGAGAGAAATAAAATAAGCTGGCTGAATTTCCTGAAATGTTGTTGTATGTAACAGAAGTATGTTTTTTTTTTTTAAAAATTCCTAATGGCGAGACCTCTCTACCTTGCCGTGGCTGGCTGGACATGGCCTGGGTAGGACCTTCTTGTGCTGGTCGCTTGTCTTTGCCTCGCTAGAAAGGACTGCCCTGAGCCTGTGCTAGCTAGTCTATCTTCAGCCGCCTTTTTATGAAGAGTCATTCCCTGTAACATTAAAAGAGAAACAAAAGTAGTCAGTGAAACATGGGCTGTTCTTACAAAAATAAACGTCATCATGCAGAATTTACCACACTGAATAGCAAAGTACAATTTATTAGGAATATTCATTCTACTTATTATGGCTTAAAATTTTATGAAATCCTTTTCATTCCAACAATTAAGTACGAATTTTCCTTTGGAAAAATTAAGGCTTAATTTTATGAATTTACAACAATCAAAACAAGAGATAATAGAGAATGATTTTTAGAATACTTCCCCTATACTTTCCTTTCAAATCAAACAGTGATTTTCCGAGAAAAGTGCAATTGATTGGTAGCAGCCGATTCACATAAATTGTGGAAATCACAGAACTAATCAGAAAGGAAAAACACAAATGCACTTGCTTCTTACTCCGGAAAGCCGTACTAAGTACCATACATACCACAATGCTGTTTTTCTTCACTTCAAGGCAGACTTGTATTCTCAAATAAACTAAGAAAGCTCTGACAACCCACAGAGAGGACACAACCCAGAAGGGGCTCTCCCCTCGAAGGCAGAGCAGTCGCTCACTACCTTTGAAGAGGGCAAACGTCACCAGGCTACACCTAGACAGGAGGGAGGGAACCTGTAGGGTACTTTCTCAACCTGGAAAAACAGTGAGTGACAGTAACAGCCCCACTCTACTAAAATCAGAGGACTACACAAGGAGACGGGGACTTTTATAATAGCCAGTTTTAGTATTCTTTTAATAAGACAATGAATAATGGAGCAAGAGGAACTGAGATTGCTGGTTAACCATACCAGGAACACGGTACAGGTAAACTGGTGCAGAGAAGTGGAGGCTGACAAAGAAGAAATAAAGCACAGAAGACAGGAGACTGGAAACTCAATCTTCCTATTACTAATAAGCTTCTAGAAGAGACACTGGCCATAGCTTTGCATTCTGAATATAATTTCAGCCTTTCCTATGCACCTAAGAACACAACCGTTTTCCTCAATAGGAAATCCTAGAATATGTCCCCCCCCCCCCCCCCCCCCCCCCCCCGTGTGTGTGTGTGTGTGTGTGTGTGTGTGTGTGTGTGTGTGTGTTTTGGGACAAGGTTTCTCTGTGTAACAGCCCTGGCTGTCCTGAAACTTGCTTTGTAGACCAGGTGGGCCTCGACCTCACAGAGATCCTCTTGCCTCTGTCTCCTGAGCGCTAGGATTAAAGGCGTATGCTGCCACCAACACCATCCCACTGTTTTATTTTCTTTAAGGCAGAGTCTTACTATGTAGCCCTGCTAGCCTAGGACTAGGTCACTGCAGCAGACCTTGAACTGGGATTACTGTCTTGTGTCACCGTGCCTGGCCTCAGGGTATGTGCTCAGGGGGTGGGGTGGTTGTGTGTGTGTATACAGTTATTATGTGTGTGCATCTGTATCCATGATGTATGCAGATGGGATGCCTGTATCACAGTTTATGTGACAGTCAAAGGACAACTTGATGGAGTTGGCTCTCTCCTTCCATTTTACATAGGTTCTAAGGATTGAATTCAGGGTGCCAGGCTTGAGCAGCAAGCACAATTACTTGATAAGTCATCTTGCCAACCCCCAGAATATATTTTTTAACTCAGCTCTAACTTAAAAGATACATGTGAAGGTTTGAATAAAACTAGCAAATATCTATTGAAACGTTTTAGTACATACAATGAAATTACATTTTATTTTAAAAATTCTAATTTTTCAAGCAGTTGACTGTGCTCTGTGTTCTAGGGCTCTACCACTGAGCTACACTTTTCACATACTTTTAAGACGTCAGTGGCCAACACAAAGATATTTGTTGAGAAACTTAATACCTTGCCCCAGCAGTCACCATCTTGACTCCTTTTTAAGTTGTCTGAGATGCAAAACTTTCTGAATTTAAGTATAATGTTCCTACTGGTTACCTTCTATGAGTAGAACTTGCATGTGTCTATTTGGAATTACCCCTCCACTCTGAAAAGTTAAAAATTAGCACTATCCTTTAGTTCCATGTCACAGAATAAATCAATCTGGCTCTGTAGGAAGCAATCTGTGAAACTGCTGACACGGACTGAGGTACAGGGCTGTGAGACTGGGAACACTGAGCTTCCAGGAAGACAGGGTTAGAGTTAATGCCCTGAGAAATCCCTTGATGGGATTTATTTTCTCTACTTTTAAATTTAATTTTCAAGAAAATTTTATTTAACAACATTCTCATTCAAAATTATTTCCCTTTTAAAAGAAAAATTATGATAAGATCTTAAACTTTAACCAGCACACTGGTGTACTGTAGACACAACATGTCATGAAACATAAGTTTTTAGTAAATATCAAATCACATTTTAAGGTTAGGGAACTAACCTTTAAGAATCAGTACCAACGGTAACACTAAAACAAACACAGTACTTCTATGCCAACAGGAGAGCTATTAGACAAAAGGGAAAAACTGAAAGAACAGCCCAAGTTCCTGTTTCCAAACCTTCACTTGGGGCTGGTGAGAGGGCTCTGGGAGTAAAGCAAGCCTAGCGTCTCGTGTTCAATCCCTGAAATGCACACAGTTTCCACAGGGGTTCCACAGCACCACTGCCCAGCATGCACACACATTCACAATAAATAATTTTTAAAAACCCTAACGTTTCAAAGTGGTAGAAATGGTTTCACTCGAAAGAACACAAAGAAAAGGAGGACCAAAGGTCCGAGAGGGGCTGGAGAGATGGCTCAGCGGTTAAGAACACTGGCTGCTCTTGCAGAGGACCCAGGTTCAATTCCCAGCACCCACATGGCAGTTCACACCTGTCTGTAACTCCAGTTCTAGAGGATCCAATACCATCACATAGACATGCATGTGGGCAAAACACCAATGTACATAAAAATAAAGAAAATATTTATTTAAAAAAAAGGTCCGAGAGAAAGCGCCTCATCCTGTATAATTCACACCTGTGCATGAGCCAATGAGCTGAGCAGCTATCGCCTTTCCTTACATACATTTAGTTTCTTTGCATGTGTACTGGAATATTCCATTTCAAAACCTTCAGTGGTCAAAGTCTGAGACTGAACACTTCCAAATCCCACGAGACAGTTAAACTCCCTGTAAAGAAAGTCTCATCTTGCAAAGGTCCTGAAACAGGCCACAAAGCAAGGGCTACTGCATCTGTGTAGGAATCACCATGTCTGCTTTCCCTTCAACACACGGTTCCATGGAAAAAACTAAACTGGTCTTTTCTATCCTCTGGGCATGGTGGTTTCACAAGGCCTTAGCCTTCTGTGTGGTGCTTTTCATTTTTAAGGTCAACAAAAAGGCTTTGTTAGTATATGTTAGGAGAGAAATTACTTTCCGATTCTTTTGGAAAAATTATTTCTACAGTAAAGACAATATAATGACATATAACTTTGCACTATATTCTGGAATACTTTTCTCTTACCATATTGTACCAGGCACTAACAATGTATTTCTCCTCCATGTCTCTTTGACTCTTCGTTTTCTCATATTCTTTCTGAAGCACAACCACATACAAAGATACAAATGAATTCAATATAAGGAAAATATTTACAATTAACTGTCTAACCCAAGGTTACAATTGTATAATATAGTAAGGTTTTTTAAAAAAGCTAAAAACCTCAGTATTTTACTGCACAGTGTACTAACTGACCTCTAATGAGTGGAACAGTCGATCCCGTTCCTGCAGTTGGTTTTTAAGAGCTTGTATTTCTGGTGCTGCTCCTTGATTCTGTTTAGGGTCTAATGTACGAATAACCTGCAAAAATAAAAGAAAAACTTAAGCACACATAAAAGTTCACAGACATAACCTAAACAACAAACCCGGCCCAAACTCGAACCTCAACCCCTCAAACGTAAAGAATCCAGCATCTAAGAAGCAGGCTGAGGACACAACGCAGTGGTACAGCACATACCTAACACACATGGTCCCTAGGTTCAGTCTCCAGTACTGCGGGCAGCTCAGGGAGCCCAGAGGCCGAACTGCACACAGGGCCATAGCTATTGTTGTCTGAACGTGCATGAAGCGGCGTGTGATTCCTAGCAACCTCTACCCCATCAAACACAGCAGAAAAGGAAAAATAACACACCAAAGCTATTAAGGACACTTATAAAAGCTAAATGTACGAAATAAAATTGCTAATCTTTTCAATGATATATATAGAAGAATTAATTCTGGATTAGTGAGCATTGCTAAAGAGATGCTATTCACAGCTCTTTCCTTTTCTATTTCAGCTAGCCCTGGACAGGTAATCCGAAAGGCACACAGGGTGAAGCCTGAACAGACCTGTTTCCATCAGTAGTCTGGTGGAGTCATGAATGTGGGATGCAGTTCTGCCTGACTTACTACAGAATTTCTGGGAAAGAGGCCGTTTTGTTCTCCACCCATAGTTTCACTATCAAAATGTTCAAACACACAGACCCCCAAACAGTTCAAATCCATTTATTCTTTTTAACCTGGATTGAACAGTTGCTCCTTTGCCATATCTGATCTCCCCCAACACTCTTCTGTGTTAGAAATAATTCACAGTCTTAGTGACACACAACCTAAAATACTTCAGTGTGCATATCCCTAAGTTTTTTTTATTCATAATCACAATGCTACCACTACCTCTAAGTAAATAACAATTCTGAAAATGGCCAGAATTTAGTTTACGTCTGCATCTCCCACCTTTACAGTTAGGAGGGATTGGAGACTTAACCTGGGGCCTTGTGCTTGCTAGGAAAGCACTCTACCTATGATGCATACATCCCTAGATCTCATTATACCTTTTATTTTGAGACAAGGGTCTCAGTAAATTGTTCAGGCTGGCTTTGAACTTTCAACTCTCCTGCTTTGGCCTTATGAAGTAGCTGGAATTACTTGGCCAAAGTGTCTCTTATAACTGATTCTCTGTCCTCAATTTAAGACTCAAAGATTGATGCATTCTACCTGGCAAGCAGGAATCCTTTTAATGCAGAGTAGCTTCCTACATTCTTCTTTATTCTACTCCCCATTTTTTTTATATAATACTGACATGAAAATTATCTTATTTTTAAAAAATTTTAAAATTTGTTTGCGTGTGTGTGTGTGTGTGTGTGTGTGTATATGCTTGCGTGCGCATACATAGCTTTAGGGAGCAGAGGATGCCCTGAGTGAATGAAGTCATGAGTGGAAGTGTATTTTGACATGAGCCTGACCTATCAAGAACTCAGAGACTAATTGGCCCAGAGCTATTAGCCACATGAGCCAGGTGAAAGAGGAATAGAAAAGCTTTCCTGGGGGTGTCCAGGTATGACTGTGTATAAACGACTGATCAGTGAGTGCAAAGACTAGCAACTGCCGCTTCCCCTTTCTGGATACTTACAGCCTGAGACCGCTCACCTCCTCCCAAGACTAGCTAACCCCTCCTCCTGGGCTGCAATAAACAGGATGAGGTTCTGGGTCGCAGCAGTCAGAAATTCACGCTTGCTCTCAACTGCACTGCGTGTGTGTCTGTGATTCTCTTGCCAACCCTAGCCAGGGTTCCAGGACCCAAGCAGCACACAGTGAGATGCGGAGGCGAGGGGTCAACTCTTGGGGGCCTTTGATCACTCTCCACCTTATTTTTTAAGATAGTGTCTCTTACTGAACCTGGAATTTACCATGTTGTAGACTGACTGGCTAGTAAGCCTGAGATCATCCTGCCTCCCACCTCTCAGAGCTGGGCTACAGAGGTGTGCAAGCATGCCCATCTTATGTGCCTGCTGGGGCTCTGAAGTGAGGTCCCCATGCTTGTGCATCAAGCACTTTATCCACCGAGCCATCTGCTCGGCTCTCCTAAAACTGACTTCTATCCCCAATTTAGATTATCTGAGTTCCCCAAAGGTGTTATTTACTTTTAAACAGATTTATTTTACGTGTATAGGAGTTTTGTTTACATGTACATAGACACATCAGAAAAGGGCATCAGATATAATGGGAGTATGGATCCAGTGGGACTGCAGTTATAGACAGGTGCTGCTGAGCCATCTCTCCAGCCACCCCTCACAGAGAAACCCTGTCTTGAAAAACAAAATAAAAGAACAACATAAAAAAGGTTTATTTATTTCGAGGGGTTTGATTCCCTATATGGCTGTGTACCATGTGACTGTATGCACCATGTGACCATGGGGATGAGGAGAAGTTGTCTGGGAACTGGAGATACAGACAATTGTGAGGCACCATGTGGGTCCCGAGAACTGAACCCGGGCTCTCTGCAATAACAAGTGCTCTGACGCACTCAGCCATCTCTCCAGCCCCTTACATTTTTGTAAAAATAAAGACTTACTCATTTATACAAGTACGAGGGTTTCTCCAGCATGTATGCATGTGTATCACCTGCATGCCTGGTGCCCACAGGAGCTAGAATTGCCAATGGAGCCCCTGAAATTGGAGTTACATGGGTGCTGGGAACTGAACCTGGGTCCTCTGCACGAGCAGCAAATGCTCTTAACTGCCAAGTCATCTCTCCAACCCCTTATAAACTTCTAAAGTCAATCTATAATTTATCGGGTTTTTTTTATCATGGCATTTTCATACATTTATATCATTCATCATACTTTGTTCTTAGCCAAGTGAGATGGCTAAACGCTTGCTGCCAGGCCGGACGAGAGAGGCAGAAAGAGAGACCTGACTCTTGTACCTTGTCCTTCTTTGTTCCTGTCTGCTCATACAGATAGCTCATAAGCTTTCTTTTTCTTCTTCCATGTGTTGTTAACTTGAATTACTGGCTACAGTGGTGGCTGTCACTTATTTCTTACATACAGCACATTTTTTTCTTGCTGACCCATTTGTGGAGTGACCTATTTTGATCACTACTTATTTAGGATCTTTTTCTGCTTAGAAGATTTCTTTGATTACTCTGTGTGTAAGAACGTGATTTTATGTGGACACTAGACTTTCAGGCCGGAGGAAAGCATCTCTGGACAGTACAGTGAGAGAGCTGCAAGTTCACACTCACACTTTTGGCTTTCTCTAAGTACTTCTTATAGCGTTCTTCCATCTGCTTCATTTCTTCTTCCTTCTTCCGTAATGCTTCTTGCAATTCTTCAATTCTTAAGGCTGCGAAAAGATGTCCGTGAAAAAATTAGATCTTAATAACATTATATTTTAAATTATTTAAGAAATAATAAATAGTTGTCCTGATTGGATTGTTTGGTCTATTCTTATATATAATTTTCTCTTTAAAAATAATTCATATTTTTATTTTACCAAAAGCTTATCTTAATAAGTAAACAAAGATGTTGGTATTAAACTACATAAAGTAAAAAGCATCTATTGATGGATGAATGAATAAACAAATATATACTCACACAGTATGATCTTTTTAAGTCTAAATTCTGATATATATTACAGTATTGAGACTTAAGTGAAAAAGAAAGACATTATGCTTAGTGAAATAAACTAGACAGGAAAGTACAACTATGATTCCACTTGTATGAGTTTCCTAGCACAGTTCAGCTCAGAGACTGAGGTAAAGTAGACTGGCAGAGGGAGGGACAGTTCCAGTTGAGAGGGATGAGAAGATTTTACAGATGAGGAGTGGTGAGGTTGCACAATGTTCTTAATTCTACTGTACTATTTTCTTAAAATGGTTACCCATTGCTGCGAGGATTTTGCTATGACTTACAAAGTCTGCCGTCTTACTTCCACAAAAACAAAGTTAAGCTAACTATATGTACAAAGAGACATAAAGTGTATGTCTGGGGCTAACTTATGTGCAGTTACATTGAAAGTATCTAGCTTCACTTAATGTCCATTACAATCAGTACTTCAAGAAAGAAAGAAGGCAAATTCTTTAAAAATTTACTATTTTAAGTGTGAGTGTGTGTGTGTGTGTGTGTGTGTGTGTGTGTCTGGTTGTCTCTGTGTATGTGCACTTGAGTGCAGGTCCCACTGGGCCAGAGGCATGATGATCTCCTGAAGCTAGAATTATAGGCAGTTGTGAACCAACTGACGTGGGTGTTGGCAACCAAACTTTCGTCCCCCCAAAGAGCAGCAAGAGCTCTTAGCTGCTGAGCCATCTCTCTAACACCTGACAAGTTGTTAAAAAAAAACCAACCAAAAACTGACTTGTATGTATTTCTCTCTCTCTCTCTCTCTCTGTCTCTCTGTCTCTGTCTCTCTGTCTCTCTGGTTTTTTGAGATAGGGTTTCTCTGTGTAGCTTTGCGTCTTTCCTGGAACTCACTCTGTAGCCCAAGCTGGTCTTGAACTCACAGAGATCCACCTACCTCTGCCTCCTGAGTGCTGGGATTAAAGGCGTGCGCCACCACCGCCTGGTTTTTATGTATTTCTTAAGTTATGCACACGTGTATGTGCCTTCATAAGTATTTGTCAAATATGTGTAGGTGCCCCTGGAGGCCAGAAGAGGGTGTTGGGTCCCCTGAAGGTTGAGTTACAGGGGTTGTAAGCCAGAATGTAGGTTCTGGGAATCAAACTTATGTCTTCTGGAAGAGCAGCAAGTGCTCTTAACCACTAAGTCACCTTCTCCAGCCCCCTAAGGGAAATTCTTAATTGCTAGAATAATTGAAAGTCTATTTAAAAAGGCAACAATTATCTATAGAATAGTGTATGGCTAATGCTATCAGGAAAAACTCACAGCTGTTGTTAAATCTTGGCTCAAGATCTTCAATAATGGCCCTCTTTTTCTGTAATTCATTGTTGGCTTCATGCAGCTTCTCTCTGCAACAAAATATAGGACTACATCATCACTTCCGTTTTTCTTTCCTGGGCTGGAGACCCAGTTCAGTGTCTCATACATGCTACACAAGTTCTCCACCTCTGAGTACATGCTCAGCCCTTGTTTCTGTATCCTCATTTTCATTTTGAACTAAAAATTCATTATATTTGGAATACGCTCACATTATACACAAGTCCCTTGAAACAAAGGTAAATGGACTAAAGGTTAAAAAAAGGCGAAACCCATTTCTTTTGGTTTTTCATAAGACATATATGAGGATCTTCATGTCTTTAGGAATAAGGATACTGTAAAAATTAAGTTTCAAACTCTGTAAAGCTTTTTCAATGCAAAATCTTGTCACTAAAGGTAAGCTAATAAAAACAAAGACTAACAGAAAGAGCAAGCATTACAGAACATACAGATACATACAACCACATGAACAGACCTCACAAAATAATGCAGAACAAGGAAGTCAGGAGTTGATGATTCTGTTCATGACACATATAGCATTGAAACTAACAAAAGGTGATGAAGATAAGCACTGTGGCTAATACAGGGATGTACTCAATCAACTGGAAGGCAAAAGGATGAATTCTATTAAATGTTGACTTAGGTTATCTATATATGGAGGTAAACATTCACAACCTATGTTTAGGAATTTAAGATATGTACATTACTATATAAAAGTTATATTCCAATATAAAAAAGAATAAACAGAAAGTAACTTTTTCTCTTGTGAAAGTTTCATAATAATGTGATACATAATTTTTCCTTTAAATTGTTCAGTGTAGCATTATGTAATATGTGTAAGACAGATGGCTAAAACATATAACCAATAATAACTGAGCATTTTATTGTGTCTACTTCTGATTTTTTTCAAAGCATGATACTGTAATAAATTCCTCCTTGCCTTTTTGGACACAGGGTCTTACTGTGTAACTCTGGTTCACCTGGAACTCACTCTGTAGATCAAGCTGGTCTTGAACTCAGAGACTCACCTACTACTGCCTTCCAAGTGCTGGGAATAATGGTGTGTATTACCACTCCTGGTTCCTTTTCTTTTACAGTAAATTATTATTATTATTATTATTATTATTATTATTATTATTTTGGTCTTTTCAAGACAGGGTTTCTCTGTGTAGTTTTGGTGCCTGTCCTGAATCTCACTCTGTAGACCAGGCTGGCCTCGAACTCACAGAGATCCGCCTGGCTCTGCCTCCTGAGTGCTGTGAGTAAAGGCATGCGCCACCAATGCCCAGCAAGGTAGAACTGGCTGGTGGGATCAAACCTGCGACCTTGGCATTATTGGCACCTAGAGACATTTTTAAACACATCAAATTGGCTTAAAAATTAAATCAGTAGTGAGAATTATTGCTGAAGTTGTTAAGCAACAGTAATTCTCATTGAATGCTGATAGTATTTCTCAGTACCTTTTCATATTGAAAAGAGTACATACTCTGTAATATATTAGTTTTATTGTGTATACCTGAAATTCCTAGAGATAATACTGTTCATGTATAATAGGAGACCTTTAGAAGACCTATATTTAATGATAAATGTAGTAAGCAAAATGCTAGACATAAGTAATGTATTGATTAGAATTAAGACAAAGACAGATTAGAAAGTTCTAATCTCTAGTACTGTGATTGTGACACTATTTAGAAACTGGATCTTTGTAGATACAGTTAACTCCTAGGAAGTTGTACTGGGCCAGGGTACATGCTGAGCCCATTACTGTTGTCCTCAAAGGGAGGTCCACATTTCTCCTTAACAGTGCTTTGTGCTTCCCATGGTTCCAGTTGCTTATGCTCAACTGGAGTCAAACCATTACATGAACCCCAGATAGAAGTTAAGTTTTAAGTCATACGATGTACCAAGTTGTGTGATAAACTTCCATGTGAATTATCCCTTTGTCCTACATATCCATACTGTGTAGGTTAGCCACCACTTGTCACAGTAACCAGTTGGTTATTAGGACAATGGCTTTAGGATAGTGTTATAATTGTTCTTTTTTTTTTTAATTGAACTATTATCAGAGGAATTTATCTACAGAAAAAGACCAAAATGTAGAGTTCAGAACTGTCAGTGATTTCAGGCATTCACTGAACATCTTGGAAGAAATCCCTTGAGGATGAGAGAAGCACTAAACAGGAAGAATGTCAACTGGACACAGGCTACCAAAGGAACACCAAGGACTGCAAACGGATACCAGAACTAGGAGATGTGCTGGACACGCTACTGCTCATCCTCTAGGAAACCAATCTTTTGACAACTGGACCTCAAATTTGTTGGCTCTGTAACTGTGAGATAACAAGTAATTTTTCTGTTCTCTTAGCCCCTTTATTTTGTGCTATTTTTTTTTACAACAGATATAATAAACAGGCTCCATCTTCACTAAAAGATCCTTTCTGCTGAAGATTTTAGTATGTAAACAACTGAACACATAATAATGGTTAAAGAGTAGATTTATGATCTGAAGTATTCTGTTTTTGTCAGAGAGGAATGGAAAATATAAAAGTACTAGATTTGGTATGACATTCTCATTCTGGGTAACCTTACAGAGCTTGGAAAGTAACATTGTTCTAGAACACTAAGAATCTGTCTATTATTAGACTTTCTAGAAATCTCAGTGGCTAGGAGTCTATCACATCCAACATATTAAAAAAATGGGTAACACATATCAAACTTTCAGAAACATGAATATCTTTCCAATCATGGAGGAAAAGTCAAAATTTTCTCTTTGGTGCTGAGAATGCTTATTTTAATGTAACATTTCAGCAGCTACTGATTCATAGCCATCCCACACTTAATCCCTGCAAGGAATTTTGCTGAAAAATGACAGATTAAGGTTGTTACTGGGCATGAGAAAATTATTATTATTTTTTTTTTTGGTTTTTTGAGACAAGGTTTCTCTGTGTAGCTTTGCGCCTTTCCTGGAACTCACTTGGTAGCCCAGGCTGGCCTCGAACTCACAGAGAGCCGCCTGGCTCTGCCTCCCGAGTGCTGGGATTAAAGGCGTGCGCCACCACCGCCCGGCGAGAAAAATTATTAAATATCCCTAACACAGTTAACCAGTTAAAGATGAAGATTTCTTCAAGAGAAATCAAGTTAATAGTTAAAGTATTTATTTCACTTTTAAGTTAAAAAGTCTTACTTAAGATGACTGAAATTCAAAGGCTTATTTGAAAATATGCTATTGATAAGCACTCTACTTTAAAATGTTTACTTGTTGATATAGCTATAACACATATACCTAAGGCTCAGGGAACATGGAGAAATGGGGGTGGAAAGATTGTAAGAGCCAGAGGATCAGGACATCTGCTTCAAGATAGTGTCTTTTTAAAGACAGACCAACCAACCAACCAACCAACCAACTCAAAAACTAAAAACCAATACCAACAACAAAAGACAAAGTAGAGTGGGATAGGGAGAAGGCGTTAGGGAATGAGTGGGGGTTGTGAATATGATCAAAATACATCGTATGAAATTCTCAAAGAATTAATAAAAAAGTCTGTATTTTTAAAAAGTTTACTTATAGAAGAGTCGATGCCTGGCAAACTGCAGCCTGTCAGGGGCAGCCAGTGGGGTACCTGTTCCCATATGTGAAGTTCTACTGCAGCACAGTCCTAACTAGTTTTAATATTGTCTACAGCTGCTTTTAGAGCTGAGCGGCTGCACCAGAGGCCAGGACTCAGACAGCCTAAAACAATTACTATTTGGCCTGTCACAGAAGAAGGCTGAGATTTTTGATCCAGCATCTCATACTCCTTTCTTTTCTAAGGAGTCTCACGCTGTTGCCCAAGTTGGCCTGAAACCAGGAGTAATTCTCCTGCCTCAGCCCTGGATTGCACGTGTGAGTCACCATGCTTGGCTTACAATCACTGAACTGATGTGCAGGACTTGGGTAGAAATGGTCCTGTCGACACTACTACCAAGTGGTACTTTCCTGTATCTTCAAGGACCACTTATGCCACTGCCTACACCCTCTGCACCCACAACACAAAGTGCTTTTGTTCTGCAATGTGAAGAGCCTCAACAAGTTGTCTACTTACAGATGTTCTTCAAGCTTCTTTTTTAGAAGAACTGACTGAAAATGGAAAATAAAAAATTAGCTCATTATTTAACATTTCAACTAACATTATTTTGTAATAATTAAAGAGTATATAGTAAATAACTTGGAGTAAGCTCTCAGTAATTTCTTTGGTCAAAGAGCTCAAAACCCATGTACCTCAATTTATTCCTCTTCAATAAAAGAAGAGAACAGCCCAGAAGTGAGAGCAGTCAGTATAAAACACATAGAAACTAGATAAATTCTCAATTTACACACAGGAAAATGAATTTAAAAGCTCCTTATATAGAGACCCAAATATTCCTGGACTCAGTATCAAGGAGTACCCTAACGGTAACAGATTTTTCTTACCCTGCTTTCTCTGCATTATGATAAAGTCTCAGATTCATTGCCATATTTTAGCTGATGACAAGTAATGTATCTGATGGCATGAGAGATATAAAGAGTAAGATGTTGAGATGTTGAGAATGAAGGTTTGACCGGGTAATTTTGTTTTTAAAGGTTTTAAACTTCCTGAAAAGCAGGAAGTTAAAACTTACATAAAATAAGTAATAGACACATAGACCACCAGATCTCGCAGTTTAACACTTGTAAGGGTAAATATTAACAAGGAATTTTGAATAATGTGATAACTGATACTCAACCAGTTACTGTAGGCTTATAGAACACACTCTTGATTGTGTGATAATAGCAAGGAGGAGAGGGAAAACCTCTCCAATGTTTAGTTACCCTTTTAATGGTGATCACCACACATATTAACTCCTGTCTACCTACTTCCTCCCTTTTAGAAATGGCCGAGAACTCACCAGGTATGGAACCCAGTTTGCCCTTGAACTCATGACCCTCCTCCTAAATGCAGGAGGTCTGGGATTTCAGGTGTGTATCATCAGGCTTGAGTTTATTCCATCAAATCTAACACGGCTTTGAATATTTCAAATTCACATCTTTCTCAGTATGGTAACTGTAATTAGAACAATGTCCTCTACTACTATTTTCCCTAAACCTACAGAAAGATAATATCCTTACTTTTAATAAGATATCTTATTAGAGATATTATTTATATCTTTAATATCTAAAAAAGATATTATTTATATCATATAACAGAAGTAAAAAATGGGCAATTTTTTCAGAACTGTACATTTTTCTTTCTTCCATGGCCTCCTCATCCTGTCTTGTTCTCAAATTATCCATATGACTGGATATAACAATGCATTTCTGCTTCCATGCTAAAATCAAATAACATAAAAACAATAATAAGCCGGGCAGTGGTGGCGCACACCTTTGATCCCAGCACTTGGGAGGCAGAGGCAGGCGGATCTCTGTGAGTTCGAGGCCAGCCTGGTCTCCAAAGCAAGTTCCAGGAAAGGAGCAAAGCTACACAGAGAAACCCTGTCTCGAAAAACCAAAAAAAAAAAATAAAAAATAAAAAAAAATAAAAATGTGCAAACCATCATGCTCTGACTTAAGGTTATAAGAAAAGACTGTTTTGATAACAGAAAAGGCAGCAATTATGTGTTCTTCCTATAAGATATATGATACCTCTAATAAGATATCTTATTAAAAGTAAGGTCTATAAAAATAAGATATCTTATTAAAAGATAATAATCTTTTAATCTTTATTTGCTTTTAAATCATTATTATTTGTTCTCTTTCTGCTAAGGGGACGAATGGAAATATTAAAAATTCTTAATTTTGTGTTTTGATTAGATCTTAACAATTGGAATTCTTACATACTATAGTCAAATAACTAACTACAAGTCTAATATGCCAGACACGGCACTAAAGCCTGCCAAGTACAGTGTGTAAGCCTCACGACAGTAACATTAACCCTGCTGTACACCGGGGAGGCTGAGGCCCAAGCACCTTTAGTAACTGAAGGAACACACTGAAAATTAAAGTCCACTGTGGCCGAGACCCCAACCCTCTGATCGCCCCCTTTCCAGGTGTTCTATGTTGCAATGCCTCTCCAAACTGAAGACTATGACTATCAAAATGTGTGCTTGGAGGAAACCAGATTATAAAAGGAAGCCTACACTACAGCCAATTCTATCAATGAACTAATTATAAGGGACAGAGCAGGAGGGAGACAAAGGGGAAGGACCTCTCCATTAAGATTTGGATCGACTTTAAGATTTTAATTGTCAAGAGCATATACTTATATAGCAACTATTAGAATATTCATTTTTCACGAGTCTTACTTTAAAATTTCAGTACCACTGACTTTAATATCAGATAAAGTATAAACTTAAAAACTGCTAAGTATATGGAAATGAATAGGAAGCCATACTTACAATAGCCTTGAGCAGAAACCATGCCAAGAGACAGAGAGGACATATTAGTATGAAGCAAACACAGCAGCCAAGAGAAGGAACGATTTAGTAACTCATGAACAGAAGTAAAAGATAGGCAATTTTTTCAGAACTGTACATTTTTCTTTCTTCTATGGCCTCCTCATCCTGTCTTGTTCTCTGAAGTTTTATATACTGTGGCTAGCTCAAATTATCCATATGACTGGATATAACAATGCATTTCTGCTTCCATGCTAAAAACAAATAACATAAAAATAATAATAAAAATGTGCAAACCATCATGCTCTAACTTAAGGTTATAAGAAAAGACTGTTTTGATAATAGAAAAGGCAGCAATTATGTGTTCTTCTTCAGAGGGGATGAATCCGGTCTAGAGGTTGCTCTATGCACCACACTCCTGAGATATAACACTATAGATTATTGAGGAGAAAAATAAGAGAAAAATATCAAAAATCTGATGGGGTAAAAGAACCACATATCCTGAACTAAACTAATTATTTCTCTAAGGAATCTGGAGTCTTCAAAACAGAAAAATTTCCACCTGAATTTTGTCTGCAGAGAAGAACACGGAAGGAAATTTTGCTTAGATTAGAGCTAGACATCTCATTACTACTTAGGCAGTTAAAAGGTGACCAGTTTATGCAAGTATTTGATAGTGCTGGCATCTTACCTCTGAAATATAATCACTACAGCAATTGCCCATAATATGTTTAATTAGATTTATCACAGTGATAACTAACTAGGCTGTCCCAAGTCACTTTAAACAATTCCTTAATGTGTTAATTTAAGCAAGAGAAGTACATACAATGGTCCTTACTGCACTGCTACATTTAGTTAGTTGGAACACTCCCATGCTTACCTGTGTGTAGTACCCTCTTTCCCTTTTCTACCAAAACAAATCCACAACAGTCACCTCCAAATTTTTAAGACCCAAGTGAACTTTATATTTCTTTTGGTAAAAGGGATCTAGTGATGCCAATGAAGTAAGAAATACTACATCCTATGGCTCACCTCTAAGACACTGTTAAGTAGGCATTATTATTTCAGTGCACTCATTTCATCTCTTTGGGATTTACCATTTGTTTGTTTGTTTGATTGTTTTTAAATCATGACACTGGGCTAGAGGTATGGCTCAGTGGTAGATTTGAATCCCAGAGCCACAAAGTTTTAAAAAGTAAAAAAAAAAAAAAAAGAACAAAAGTATGGCTTGGCATTTTAACTAGTTCCATTTTAATAAAGGTGTATGGTTGTTAAAAATAACAGTAGTTGAACTGACCTGGGAAACTAAGACAATTATCAACTCATTAAGAAATAAACTAAATCAGGCCGGGCGGTGGTGGCGCACGCCTTTAATCCCAGCACTCGGGAGGCAGAGCCAGGCGGATCTCTGTGAGTTCGAGGCCAGCCTGGACTACCAAGTGAGTTCCAGGAAAGGCGCAAAGCTACACAGAGAAACCCTGTCTCGAAAAAAAAAAAAAAAAAAAAAAAAAAAAAAAAAAAAGAAATAAACTAAATCATGAATTAGAGGGTCACACTGGCAATCTAAACAAGATATATGTGCACAGAAACTTACAAAACTAAGTTAGAGGCCTCAAGGGCTTTTATATTTAATATTCCCAAACTTTAAAAGTAATTTACTCAACTCTCTTCTCTTTTCAGCTGTTCCTATGTTAATAAGGCTGGAGATTCCTCCAACTGACTGTGTCAATGAAAGCAATCTAGAAAGTTTAAACTGAAATGTCTGAGATTATAGAAAACTGCATTGGCAATAGAAAACAAAAGACTGATTATTTAACATTGATTTTCCCTATTCTTTACACTGTTCTTAAACACTTTTGTGCTTTAGTTTTATTGTGTATGCTTTATTCAATATAAAGGATTTACCAATTATAACCTATTTCTTGTTGCCAGAGATGTCTACTAGGCATCCTAAGCACTGTGAAAGGTGGTTAGTGTACGGAGATAATGTAAGTTATCATCCTAAGCACTGTGAAAGGTGGTTAGTGAACGGAGATGATGTAAGTCATCATCCTACGCTCAGCACAGGTACCATATTCCAGTGAGAATGTGCTAAGAGCAGAGGAGAGCTAAGACAGATATGTAGAATGCTAAAAGAATATAAAAAGGTCAGCATGGATTCTGATGCTAGAGATAGCATTCTTTTCTTAAATACTAAGTTTATATTAAAAAATTTCTTCTTGGGCATGTCTTTACATTTTTTGTTTTAGCTTGAGGGGGGAAACCTTTTACTTCACTATGAATTGAACACACTTAAGATGTAGCGCTTCAGTGTAATGTCTTGCCTGATAACACAAGTAAACTTAGCAGAGTCAATTAAACAGGGCTTTTAAATAAAGAATGCCAGAAAAAAAGGAAAACAGTATTTCTCCCCTATAACAAGTATAATGCTAAATTCTTAGAGATCATCAATAAAAAAATTGGAGATGTGCCTGAGAGATGCTTCAATGGTAAAGAGGTTTGTCACCAGTTCCTGGGACCCACATGGAGCAAGGACAGAAACAAACCCACAGGCTGTCCCCTGACCTCTGCAGTGAGCTGTGGAGTGCACATGCACAGGAGCACCCTGCCCCTACAACTCACACACATGAATTTATTTTTACAAAGTATCAAAATTACAGGTTTTCTTAGTTGTGAAACTTTCAGAGCACAGTTGGTACATATCAAAACTTACATCTTCTGCTTTTGAGCCTTGATCCTGCAAAGATTTCTGCAGTTCTTCTACTTGTGACTGTACTTCTAGAAGTCTTTGATTCACCAGCCTGCAAAGCAAGCACATATTAATTCTCCACATGTACTTGCCCTTGGGTTGTCATACTGATTTCACTGAAAGCATCATTGGCAAGCTTAGAGCTCAGGCTGTAGTAGCATTGTATAATTGCAATAGCACACGCACAGTTTCATTAGTCAAGATTACTTTCCATATTGTTTTTTTTAAAGATTTATTTATTATGTATAGAGTGTTCTGTCTGCATGTCTGCCTGAAGGCCAGAAGAGGGCACCAGATCTCATTACAGATGGTTATGAGCCATTATGTGGTTGCTGGGAATTGAACACAGGTCCTCTGGAAGAACAGCCAGTGCTCTTAACTGCTGAGTCACCTCTCCAGTCCCCTCCATATTATTTTTTATATTTAAAATTTCACTTTTGGGCTGGAGATGTAGCTCAGTTGGTAGAGCGCTTGCCTAGATGCCTGGCTCCACCCCAGTACTGTATAAACCAGGCACAGTGGCACATGCCTGTGGTCCCCAAACTTGGGGAATGAGGCAGGAAAGTCAGAAGCTTAAGGTCATCCTTAGCCATGCAGTAAGCCTGAGGCCAGCCTGGTACACATATGAGCCTGTGTCAACAAACAAAACAAAACAACACAACCTCACTTTTGCTTTCCCTCTCTCTGCTGTTTTAAAATCGACAACGCCACTGCAGACTTTGGGAGCTAAAAGACCCGGGCTTTAATATTTAAATCTGCTAACTGAAAACTACTAAACGTTCTTTGGCTTTAGCTTCCTCGGTTTTAAGATGGAGCTCAAAATACTGTTATAAGGGTTACAAAAGGCAATTTTAATATACTGTCTGGCAGATTAACGTAATTATTTGCTACATAATACTTCAGAGTTCCAAATAACTTTGCTAGGAAAGGAGGGGAATTAATTACTTCTGTTGACAAAATCCTATACAAAGAAAATTCTAAAGATTCTACCAAAATACCTTTTTAAAACTAATAAAAAAAAATCAGTTAGGTAGCAGGATATACACTCAATATACAAAAATAGTAGCTTTCCTTTCGTTTTCTAAGACAGGGTCTCAGTATGTAGCCCTGGATGGCCTGGAACACACCATGAAGACCACATGGGTTTGGACTCTGAGAGATGCACCTGCCTCTGCCTCCTGAGGAATGAGATTAAAGACGTGGACCCCCAAGCCCTGCCAATAGTAGTTCCTCTGTACACTAACAGTGAACTTCCTCAGAAAGAACCCAGAGAAGCAATTCCAACAACTCCCACAAAACCCTCACAAACCAAACAACCAAAAAACCCCTCAAACCAAAACCAAAACATTTCTAGGAATAAACCTAACTAAAACCGAGGCAGATCTCTAGAGTGAAAATTACTAGACAGGAACTGAAGAGGATTAACAGAGGGCAGAAAGCGCTTCCGTTGATGGACTAGGGGAATTAATGTTGCTGAAGTTCCCAAACTATCCAAAGCAACTGCAGATTCAATGCAATTCCCATCAAAATTCCAATGGCATTATCCATATAAATAAAAAGACTAATGCTGGTGGCATCACTCATTTGATTTTAAAACCATCAGAAAGTCCTAACAACAAAAGTATAGTATTGAGGTAAAACCAGACCTAGCCAACAATGTATAAGAGGTTCCAGAAAAATAAATATCTGCATGTGGGAGAATGAAACGAGATTCACATCTCTCACCCTGTGCCAAAATCCATTCAAAAGGACTGAAGATTTAAAACCTTGAAGCTATCATAGGAAACATGGTCAGATCATTAACACAGGCAATGATTTCCTCAACAGGAGTCCAGTAGTTCAGGAAACAAAGATAAAGAACTGAGAAGTTTGAGTGTAGAATAGAGAACATACAGAATGGGAGAAACACTTTGCCAGCTATTCATATGGTAAGAATTAATGTGCAGTGATCATAAAGAAATAAAACTTAACCAAAACATTAAAAAAAAAGAAAGTCCCCAACAAATGCTAACAAATAGTTTTTTAAGTTAATTATTTATTAATTTTACTTTTATGGGTGTTCTGGCTGAATGTATGTATATGCACCACATGTATACAGTGCCTGCAGAGGCCCAAAGAGGGTGTGAGATCCCCTGGGACTGAGACTGGAGTTACAGACCACTGTGAGCCTCCAAGAGGGTTCTGAAATCAAACCCAAATCCTCTGGGAGAGCAGCCATCTTTCCAGTCCAAATGCTGGCAAAGATATAAAAAAAGCCAAATGAACCCTTCTACAATGTCAGGAGTAGTGTAAACTAGCAAAAACAGTTATGAAAATTGGTAAACTAAAAAGAAAACAAACCAGCCGGGAGGTGGTGGCGCACACCTTTAATCCCGGCACTCGGGAGGCAGAGGCAGGAGGATCTCTGTGAGTTCGAGGCCAGCCTGGTCTACAAAGTGAGTTCCAGGAAAGGCGCAAAACTACAGAGAAACCCTGTCTCGAAAAACCAAAAAAAAAAAAAAAAAAGAAAATAAACCATTTTTTATTCAATCCTTCTATGCCATTCCTGGGTATACACACAAAAGTCAGAGCCAGTATACAACTGAGACAGTTGCATACTTATGTTTATCACAGCACTATTCACAAAGCTAAGTAATGCTAACAGCTTGAGTGTCCATCAATAGATGAATGGATAAAGAAACTGTTGAATAAATACACATTTTACTCAGTCATGAAGAAGAATGAAATTTTGTCATTTGTAGGATGGAATTGGTGTACATCATGCTAAGTGAAAAAAAGATAACCATAGAAAGAAAAGTATGTTTTGCTGGGCAATGGTGGTGCATGCCTTTAATCCCAGCACTTGGGAGGCAGAGGCAGGTGGATTTCTGTGAGTTCAAGGCCAGCCTGGTCTACAGAGTGAGTTCCAGGACAGCCAGAAACCTTGTCTCAAAAAACCAAAAAAAAAAAAAAAAAAAAAAAAAAGTTTTCTCTCATATTTGGAAACTAAGGAGTGTTGGGAAATATTATTTTAAGGTATGTTACTTTTGTTTATGTTGTGTTTGTTTAAATCTGTGAAGCTGTGTTACTGTGCCTGTCTAAAACACCTGATTGTCTAATAAAGAGCTGAATGGCCAATAGCAAGTCAGGAGAAAGGATAGGTGGGGCTGGCAGGCAGGGAGAAGATATAGAAGGAGAAATCTGGAAGGAGAAAAGAAGAAGTAGTCAGAGAAGGAGGAGGACTCCAGGGGCCAGCTACCCAGCTACCCAGCAAGCCACAAAGTAAGAGTAAGATACAGAAGTAAGAGAACAGGAAAAGCTCAGAGGCAAAAGATAGGTGGGATAATTTGAGTAAAGTTGGCTAAGAATTTAATAATTTAAGCCAAGCTAAGGCTGGACATTTATAATTAAGAATAAGTCTCTGTGATTTATTTGGGAGCTGAGTGGTGGGCTCCCCAAAAGAGTAAAAAACAAAGCGAAAGAAAGAAACAAATAAACCAGAAAGTAGAATGGAGACTTCCGTTAAGGACAAGAGAAGGTCCAAGGGACAAGCATGTGTGTGGCAAGGATGGGGTGAGATGGGTAGTAGGGAATCTGAAAACAGGCATGGTAAAAACATGGTATTTCTAAGTATAACAAGGCCATAGTGAAACCCACAAATGTGTGAATTAACATGTGTTAATAATTATAAAAATACACAGAAACTAAGTTATTTGTTTTGTGAAAACTACCTGTTCTGTTCCTGAAGAGAAAAGAAGAATTAGGAGAAACAATATGAAAGAATTGTGGGTGCTTTTTCTACTGGAATAAAATTTAGAGTAGGAAGAAGTAGACTGGATCAGAATGGTTAAAATACAGAGAACAATGAATGCAGCTCAAGATACGTCCATAGTCCTCTGTGACTTTCCTTTCTCTACTTTCTACATTTTCTAAGCTCCTACTGCTGAAGACACCACCCACTTTGGGCACAGGACCTGGAGGAACCAAGCTGGAACTGACCTGGAAAGTTCCCCACTGCAGACTAGCTCTCAGGATCAGAAGGTGCTGTGCAAGCTCCTGAGTGAGAGAAGCCATGGGTAGTCACAGCCAACTGTGAAGCCTGTAAACCACAGCAATGACATCCCCAAGGATGCAATACTGGCCCTTTAGCCTGGTGGTAACCAAGAGCTGTGCAATTGGATTTAAGGTCGAGTCGGTATGAGGAAACTCATGCTGTAAAACCAGGCAATGGCCACTGCTGGAGAGGTCACAGGCCCTAGAGGAGAACCCTTGACTGTCATTTTCTAAACAAATTTCTACTCTGTTCTAAGCACTTATCCTTATTCCTACAGTTAACTGTAGCTTTCACACCTTATTCAAGAAGCTTTGTTTTTGTTGTGGATGGACACTACCCAGTGATCCACAACTGATCAAAGTAGAGAGAACAAGTGACCATGGGGTGCCCAACCACAGCTGATACATCTACAATGCAACCCTTAATTAGGCTCAGGGAAAAATCGTTATCAGTGCCAGAAGAACAGGATGCCTTCTGTGAAATGGTGTCTTCTAGATAACTATATCCATAAAATCTTCTAGACACGGTACCCATACAAATCTTAACAATATGGTTGCCTAAACAAGACATGCATAGTAATGCCACCAATTGATAGGCCATATGGATGAGGGACTCTCACAAGGCCTCACCCTAAAGGAAGAGTCACAGGTAGTCAATGGCTCCTGAGAACAGGAGAATCAGTTTTCTTCAGGAATGTGCTCCTGCCCAGCTATCCAATCCCAAGTGGGCAGCCCTACATGTTTGTACATAAGAGCAATACTAAATGAACTCTGTGTGTGTGTGTGTGTGTGTGTGTGTGTGTGTGTGTAGTAATTATAGAAGAAGAGGTCATGAATTTGAGAGGAGGGGCATGGTAGGAGTTAGAGATGGAAAAGGGCAGGTGGTAGGAAATGATGTAAACACAGTACTCATGTATGAAATTCTCAAAAAAAGAAAACAAAGGGGCTGGAGAGATGGCTCAGTGGGTAAGAGCACTGGCTGCTTTTCCAGAGGTCCTGGGTTTAATTCACACGGTAGCTAATAACTATCTGTAATTCCAATCCCAGGGATCAAATGCCCTCTCTAGCCTCTGTGGGCAATGCATGCCTGTATTGCACAGACACACATACAGGCAAAAGACTCACACATAAAATAAAAATAAGTAACTCTTTAAAAAAATTTAAATTAAAATTTCATTCAAAAAAAAGCACTCACTCTGTGTTGCTAAGTGATCACATACAATGCTCCACAGAGCATTATATTTAACGATGTTCTTATAATCACAGTGATATTTCTATTCATCTATAACGCTATCTACTCTGCCTCAGTATCTACAGAACTTAGTATTACAAGTTAAGTAAGGCTAGGTAAAACCATCCCAACAATCTGACCCTGCCTGGGGAAATGCCACAGCACACAGGCGTGCAGAGCATACAGTCACATGCAATAATAATGTCAACTGTGTCAACTGTAAAAAAAAAAAAAAAAAAAGACAGCTTATCACAACAGTAAGAAAAGGGAAACACTGTCACATTTGTTACTTAAGAAACATTTCCCAAGCCGGGTGTGGTGGCATGTACCTTTAATACCAGCACTTGGGAGACAGAGACAGGAGGATCTGTGTTTGAGGCCACACTGATCTACAGAGTGACTTCCTGGACAGCCAGGGCTACACAGAGAAATCCTGTCTTAAAAAACAAACAAAAAGCAACAACAATAACAACATGCTAATTTTATAGTAACTGATTCTGAAAAACTGTAATATTAAGACAAGGAAAATTTACAAGCAGAAATGGAATTTTTTTGTTAATGTAATAGTTTAAATTTTCAAAATAACTGAACTGCTCTTGGGAGGAAAAATTTTCTTTTAAGGTCATACAAATAATAAATGAGGGAAAAAATACTTTAACAATTCAGCTCCACACCAGCAGATTCTTTCAAACATTAGCTTGTGAAAATCAACTATGAACAGCAATTGCTGTGAAAAGTGTGAATGCATCAGATATGTTTTTAAAAATGATTTATTTATTTTTATTTTATGTGCATTGGTGTTTGACCTGCATGTATGTCTGTGTGAGCGTGTTGGATCCTCTGGAACTGGAACTACAGACAGCTGCCATGTGGGTGCTGGGAACTGAACCCAGGTCCTCTGCAAGAGCAGCCAGTGCTCTTAAACACTGACCCATCTCTCCAACTCTGTATCAGCTTTTTTTTTTTTTAAATCCTCTACATATCTGTTTTTTTTTTTTTTGTTTGTTTTTTTGTAAAGCCAGGAATGGTAACACAGGCTTTCATACTAGCACAGGCAGGCAGATCTCTGAGTTCCAGGCCAGCCAGGACTATATAGTGAGACCCTGTGTCAAACAAATTAAATAATCATAAAAAGAAATATAAAAGCTGAACAAAGACAACACAAATGGACATGCCAAAGTGATGGAGAAAAGCCTACGGGGCCTCAACCGTACACAAAAAACTACAGGCACCTAAGGAAAGCTGGGAGCGGGAGAGGTGGCCCTTCAGGGAAGAGCACACCAACTGGCTGTACAGGGACCAACGGTCAGCCCTGAAAACACACACACGTGACATTACACAGACTGAGCAGGTTATATTTAGGAATATGTATGTACAAACATACACACATATATATACATGCAGTAACAATTAGTGAAAGAAGAGGCCATGAATTTGAAGGAGAGTGTGGAGGAGATGATTTGGAGGGAGGAAAAAGAAGATACGTTGTAATTTTTAAAAAAAGCAAGAAATAAACTAGCTTATAATCATTTTTCAAATACATCCCAAGCTTTCTTTAAAAATACCAACACCAAGGCACAGAGGAGAAGCTGTGGCTGGCCCTGTGCCCGCACACGCTACCTGTTCTCCGTCTCCAGCTCATTCTTGCGCAGGTTGGCATCATCTAGAAGGCTCTGCAACAAGGCAATTTTCTCGTTGTCTGAGCCCTCTTGACTGATTTTTAACATCTTATTCTCATGCTGAAGACGAATAAGTTTCTCCCTGAGTGAGAAAAATAAAAGTTGATTATCTAGTTCATTAAGTAAGACACTATATGATCATGACCCAGCCATATAAAGCTGGAGTATCGACACACAGGATACAGATGAAAAAGAGTGTCTGTGACTAGTTCAGTGCCTTTCCGAGTACCAAAGGTATCACCTTCACAAACTAAACTCCTTCTAGAATGTACAGTCTGAAGAAACAGTTTCTGTGTTTCATGACAAAGGATGAAGACAATTCCAAGTCCTGCTTCCCTCTTATGTAATATTTAAATTAGAACATGACTCTGTAACCATATAGTGCACAGTGACTGTTGCTGAAACAACCTTCTAGTTCTGTGTATATATACATACAGACAAATATTTGCTTTTCAAAAGAAAAGGATCGAGCAGTATGTTTTGTACTGGTACTTGCTCATTACCTTAGAATTCCACAATCTTTTAATATTTAAATGACATAGTACTAAAAGTTATAAATCAATTGTTACTTATTTAGATGATACATTTTAAGCATTTTAATAATGAGCAGCTTTATAAAACAGCTTTGTGTATATTGTTGGCTATTTCCTTAAGATTATTTACCAGAAAAGCAAATTTTCAGTTAAAAGATGGGCACATTTCTAACCAGAAGACTTTCTGTAATTTGTTCTAAAGATATTTTTTCCCACTTGTTACCTTGTTTGAGGCTTCTAGTTCCTCGAAAACCCTAACATGAGTGAAACATCAAATATTAACTCACTGTCTATGACGTATGCTTAAAGTTTTCATCACTGTTTATAATTTCATTTTCTTGTTAGCTCTTTAGGATATAGAGCAGACTTAAGTTGTATCTAATCACACATAGAAAAACCACAGTTGTGGGTTATCCTTGCTCCTTTTTAGCTTAAAAAACCTTTACCAACAGGCTTCCTTCACTGCTTTTGGAGTAAAGGATACAGCCATTTATCTATAAATACTTAAAAAGAATAAGTATGCATTCATTCAACTAATTTCGTTTGTTCCCAGATGGTGAAAAGAGAAAAGTACATAAGGGGCTAGGGAGATGGCCAACAGTCCAAGTCTGACTCCTTGATTCCAAGGTAGAAAGAGAGAACCACCTCCCAAGTTGTCCTCTAACCTCTACACGAGCCATGGCTGGAGAGAATGCACGCGCGCGCGCACGCACACAGTGATGCGTGGGACCTGATGGACAACATTTGATAAGGACAACGACAAACAGGTCCACAAGGTCATCATTACCTTCTGCACAGTCAGCTCCCTCCTCTCGTTTTCATTCATACACATAATGCTGTGAAGTGTACCAAAGGACATGAACTCTCTAAGATGCTATGTCCAGATAAACAGGTGAGGACCGCTGAGGGAGGAGGAGGAGTTACAGGTGGGAGGAGCTCCTCTCTTTGCAGCACTGGACCTGCAGCTCACTCCCAGTGGTTAATACACACATCTTAGTACTTGTTTATTAGGATGACAGCTAAGGACAACCTTTGTCTTAGGTATTTTCATGCTGTCCGCTGAGGCTCCAAATGTGATATGTGAGTTTGATTTTGTAATGTGAAAGACTGTCTCACTCAAGGGAAAATAATTAGTTCTCTGGACAATTTAAAAAGCTTCTAAAATGCTGAAAACATGGAACTGTAATACCGAGTTCAGGCTGAAATGCCCATCAAAAAGAGGAGCTGGTTCCTTTAACACTGGAGATGAGTTCTCTACAAGGACTTATGTGGAGTGACTGTCACTGTTACTCTCCTTACCTGATTTCAGGTGTAATAATCTCTGCTGCGAGGCTGTCTGAAGACTCCTGGCTTCCCAGAGGCATTAACCCTATAAATACACAGAGAAGTATACCAAGTTAAGGAAGGACAACTATCTCCTTTACTTAAGAGACAGAATTTCTGCAGGAAAGCATCTACCTTGAGTATGAATTTTAACAGCTAAAGAGTTCACTGGTTCTTTTTCATATCATTTTATTTTGGTTGTTGTTGTTTGTTTTGTGGTATTGGTACTTGAACCCAGCTCTGTGGATGCTAAGCAAAATCACCAATTTTCTCAAGTAAAAGTTACAGTAGCCTCACAAAAAATTAATTTATTATTTAATTATTATTAATTAATTTAATTATTCAAACAACTGTAAGGGTCCACTACATACTATTAAGTATATTTCGGTATTGTCCAACCATTACCATTACCTGTTTTTAACTATTTAATAACTCAGTCAGAAACTCTCTAACCATTAGGCATCCCACTCTTCTTGCCTGTAACTCCCTGGAAACCTCAGTTGTGTTTTCATCTGTCTGTGTCAATGAGCTTCCTGTCTATACATGTAAGCAGAATCATGGATTGGTCTTTTTTACTTAGTTAACACAACACTTTGATGTGGTGATATATTGTGTACCCTAATAAAATTTGCCTGAAGATCAGAGAACAGATTAAACACAGTGGCCAGGCAGCGGTGGCACACACCTTTAATCCAAGCACTCGGGAGGCAGAGATCCATCTGGATCTCTGTGAGTTCAAAGCCACCCTGGACTATATGAGATTGACTCAGTCTAGGAAAGAAACAGAGCCGGCAGTGGTGGCACACACCTTTAATTCCAGTACTTGGGAGTCACAGGCCTTTAATTCCAGCACTTGGGATTTCATGCCTTTGCTCCCAGTACTTGGGAGGCACACTCGCCTTTAATCGCAGCACTAAGAAAGAAGTAATATGGCTGGGCAGAGAAAGGTATATAAGGCATGAGGAGACAGGAACGGCCCTTTCGGCTAAAGGCTTTTTCAGGCTGAGGAGTCCTAGAGGTAAGACGTGGCAGTGGCTTGTTCTTTTGTCTTTCTGATCTTTCAGCATTTACCCCAAAATCTGGCTCCTGGGTTTTTAATCAAAAGACTAAAGCAGATTTTGTGCTACACTTTGATGATCTGTCCACATTACAGCACTTTGCAGAACTTTCTTCCTTTTACTGCTAAATAATATTCCACTGTGTGCATTTATTGCATCTAATCTGTAGACGAAGGTGCATTATTTCTACTTTGTGGTGATTGTGAATGATGCTATGTGTATATAATTATATTATATTATATATACATATATAAAATAATGTTATATGTGTATAATTATCTGGTTGTACCCACTCAGTTCTTTCAGTGGTGTGCTTACTAGTGGAACTGATGAATACATGTTATTTTATGTTTAAATATTTTAAAAAGCTATCAAATTCATTTCCATAGCATCACCCTATCCCACCAGAAGTGCATAATGGTTTCAATTTCTCCCAACCAATTCGAACCAACATTTATTTTCCTTTCTTTGGGCTCATGGTGGTAGTGGGAAGAGCTTTACCCTCACTAATTAGTTTGTGGTAACCCACTGATTGTCTTTTTCTAGTGATCATTGAATGATATTACTATTTCATGTGTTTATTGGCCATCTGTTTGTCTTCTTTGGAGATAAATAGTTCCTTCTATTCAAATCCTTTGTTCATGTGCGAAAGGGGTTTTATTTTTATTATTGTTCAGTTTTATAAATTCTTCAAATAGCCTGGATGTTCTGTGTATATCATGTACTCATTTACATGTATGTGATCATATGCAGAAGACAGAAACTGACCTCAATTGTTTTCCTCAATCACCTTGCACTTTATACAAGCGTGTTTGCATACCACGTGTGTTCTAAGCACCCGACATGGCCAGAAGAGGGCACTGGAACTGGAGTTACAGATGGTTATGAGCAGCCCCTGTGGTTGATGGAAAATTCAACCCAAGTCCTTTGGAAGAGAAGCCAGTTCTCTTAATCACCGAGACATCTCTCCAGCCCATCACTTTATATTTTGAGACAGGGTCTCTCACTGAGTGGCAAGCCAACTCAGGTACCCAGACTTCCACAGCAAGCACTTTTACCACTGAGCTATCTCCCCAGGCCATGGGTATTAATTCGTTTCAGATATCTGCAAATCCTTTCTCCATTTTGTGGATTGCCTCTGCTCTAGTGTTTCTGCACATGAACATTTTCAACAGTGACAAAGCCTCTTCACCCATCTTCTAGTCTGTTGCCTGTGCCTTTGGCACCGATCGCAGGGATCACTGTCCAATTCAATGTCATCCAAATGTTCCTCTACTAGGTTAGCTCTTATATTTAGGTCTTTGGGTCAGTTTTATTCTTTTGCATTTGGATGTAAAATATGCAATCCATTTCCCCCTTCCTCCCTACTCCCCTTTTCCTAACTACTCTGGCTAGAAATTTTAATACTATCCTGAAGAAAAGTGGTGAGAGCAAACACCTTTGTCTTCTTCCTGGTCTTGGAGGAAAAATTTTCAGTCTTTCACCACTGAGTTTTTTTTTTTTTTAAATGTTTCTTTATCATGTTGAGGAAATCTCTTTTTGGCATACTGAGTTTTTAAAATTATGAGTAGGTGTTGGAATTTGTCAAATGCCCTTTTCTGTACAACTGAAACAATGCTATTTTCCCTTCATTTTGTTCATGTGGCTGACACTGATGGGCAGTGAGAACATGGTACATACACACAGTGGACTTTAAATCAGCTGTGAAGAAAACTGAGAGGCTTTAAGGGAGAGAGGGTAACAGAACACTTGTGAAATGAATACTGGGGATGGACAGTCATGGATAGATGTGGGTAGTGAGACTGGGGAGGGCACAAACTAAAACAAAGTTTGTATGAAAAAGCCAATAAAAAAATCTGCTACTCTGTAAGGGTATTAAAAATAAAGTAGGGGTGGAGAGATGGTCCACTGTGAGTTTGGGTGCCAGCACCAAAGTAACAAGCTGGTTATCCTGTGAGTGTCTCTAACTTCAGTTATGAGGGACCTGGCACTCTCTCTTGGCCTCCATGTACCCATAATTATGCATATTCTTACAAATATATATATCTGTGTATATATAGACACAAACACACACATACTTGCAAATTAAGAAATTAAAAAAAAAACAAAACCTACCACAAAACCTATAAACTATTTGTCAGGGAGACCCAAGGCCCTTAAAACAGTATGTTTATTGGTTGCTCACCAGAACTCCATTAATGGTAAGATCCTTCGGGTGAACACACCCTATGCTTTGGATGCAGAGAATAGAGCAATCAAGCTGTAACTGAGCTGGAGTGTCTGCTCTGCTTAGCTGCACTCACAGTGCTGTAAAGCGCCATGCAGGCTAGTGGGGGGAAATGATCAGCCTATTCAGCTATGGACCTTGTGCACTCTATGACTGACCTGACAGGTGAATGAGCCCACCATGAGATAGTGGCATGGCTAAAACAGGGCTGAACTACTGTCTTCTGGTTGGATTTGAGGCCCTGATCATTAGCTCTGGTGTGTAAACCTAGACAAAACCCATGCCTTAGGAGGAAAGGGGTCACAGGCTCTGGTGGGGAAGCTACTGCTACTGTTTTGCTAAATGGACATCACATGCCTGTCAAAATGCCTACTAAATGTGCCCACTAGTGCCATAGACTAGTACTTACTCTTTTCAGCACTGGTCAGAAAAGTGCTTTCTTTTGTTGCTTTGATTTGCTTTATTCTTTTTTTCCCCCTGCAGTGGTAGTGGTTACTTCAGGATTCCTAACAGGTCAAACTGCTGAGAATAAGTGACCACCGAGTCCTGAGACCTCACCGGACATCTGTATCACTTCATCTAAGGTTCAGATGATATCACAGAAAATGGGAGGAAAGAATCCAACGCTGCAGGGAGGGTCAGCCTTTTGACCCTTCAGCAGCTGTGGTTACCTGGACAGGATCGGGTCTGTCACAGCCGGTCATGGAGTAGGGAGTCTCACAAGGAAGGGAGGGGGTCAGCAGGAGTATGAGTGGTCATGAGAGGGTAATGTGTGAAAATGACCAAAATACAAAATATATGTATGTAGTGCTATAACGAAACTCAATATTACAACAGTCACATGGTTTTTATTGTTACTTTTTGAGACAAGGTCTCACTGTGACATTCTGGCTAGGCTGGAACTCACTCTGTAGACCAGGTTGATTTTGAACTCACAGAGATCTGCCAGCCTCTGCCTCCCGAGTGCTGGGATTAAAGGTGTGTCCACCACACCCAGCACATTCACATCTCCTTCCTTGCTCTTTAATAACAGTTTACTGGTGAATAAAAATGTCACAGTTATATTGCTAAATATTCAGGTAGTTCTGCAATTTTGCTCTTAGGAACTATTCCTTAATCATTTGGGTATATTTCTAGAGGAATAACACGCAAAAAAAGACTCAACCATGTAGATTTTTGTATAGCAAATAATAAACATGAGAGTTTAAAAGAGATGAGCTGTCTTTTCTTGACAACATAGGAACTGAGAGTAAAGAGTGTCAGGTTCAAGCTAGATTCTGAAAATTCTGAAAAAATTTAATGTAGAACTGATGAGAAAAAAAGTGAAAGAACTGCAGGGTACAAAGAGGAACCAATTACAGTAGGAAATACTGTACATTTGGTGACGATGACCAGGACTTTATGTGGGTATGTATGCACGTACGTATGTATGTATGTATGAAATACATATAGAGAGAACTTAGGCTGTCTGCATCAGGGCTGTACACAAATTAGGGTCTGGAAACAGGTCAAGAGGAACGGAAATCGAGTGGTAGGACAACAATCCACAGTAGCTGACATTCACACTAGTGAAGTCAGAGGAGAGGGGACTGACAGTGACAATTGAGGAGTTAGATAAATAAGTAGATAAAGAAGTTCTCAGAGGGAACAAGTAGAGGAAAACCAAGGCTAGTCACAGTAACTGAAAAGTCAGGGTCTGTTCAAGTGTGAAACTTGTACCGGTCATTATCAGTCACCTACTGTGACTAAAGAGGGCAACTCTTGAGCTAAGCATTAATCCTTCATGTGAGAAAGAAGCCACCCATGTGTCTTTTTTCTCTCAGTTTTTCTTCTTAGAATCCCTAAGTCTTTTTCTAAAGGTCTGTTTTTCTATTCTATGTGTGCGAGTGTTTCACGTTCACAGATGTTAAGTGTGCCATGTGCTTGCTGCGCTACAGAAGATGGTGGGTGCCCTGGGACTGGAGTCACATGCGCTGCCACGTGGATGCTGGGAACTGAACCCAGGTCCTCTGCAAGGGTAGCCAGTGCTCTGAACCAAGGAGCCTCTCCAGGCCCAGATGTAAGTTTCTTAATGATTTAAAATCCATTCCACTTTTTGCAGAAATCACCAACTTGGAAAATTTGATATACTTTTAAAGAAGCCATGACAGATTTTTCATAATAAAAGTGTCTAGGTTAACAGATAATTTTGACTTACGAAACTCAAGAGATTACAAAATTGCTTTTAAGTTGCTAAGTAAACCCAACCTCCAACCATAGCCTGTTAAAATCTTGGTTAACAGTGCAAATATTTCATTCAATTTCTTTCATTTGACCCATTTTTCACTTTCATCTGTTGGTGTAATCATCTTAAGTGAAGCCAACACCTTTGCTGATGACCGAGCTAGACTCCTAGGTTACAGGGACTTTTACCTTGAGTGGTGAGCTGCCCCTCCTGAGCCTGTACACAGCGGAGCTCTTCAATGGTTTCCTTCAGAGAATCCCTTTCTGTTCTTAACCTCTAAAGAAACATAAAAACAAAGGTCAGCTCTACAGATTTCCTAAGCAGCAGTCCAGGCCTTTCCAGGAAGAAGATAAACAATGAACATGGGCTTATTTTTAGCTTTGATCTTTTATGGAGAGATCGTGGAATAGACACACGAAAATGACTGTATTTTCTATTTTCTATTTTTACAATACCAAGTATCTGTTATTACATGGCCATATGCTATTCAGGCTTAAGCATAAGACACGAAGCTATTTAGTCCTTTCTTAACTATTTTCTTAACGTTCTTTTCATTACACAAAGATTCAGGATGAAGACTAAATACTCATAAACTGTGAAAAGCAAAAATATGGTAAACAACAATGCAACAGTGTTTTCCATACTAGTCACAGAAAATAGGAGGGCCACACACAGAGGAAGTGAGGAGTAAGAAGTAAAGAGAGACTAATGATAACAAACACATGCATATTACAGAAGCGAGAACTGAAGCAGAACTAGTCCTTATCTTTCACTTATTTCTGAGAAAAAGAGGGAAAACTGACGTAAAGTAGAACAATTTAAAAGGAGTTAATGCAGGCAAAGACATAGGAAATCGCAGCCTTGACGTTAGCACTTCTGAAAAACACAATGTTCAGTACATACTCACATCTTTCTCTTTCTGAAGACCATCAACTTTTTCTTTTAGTCGCTTATATTCAAAATCTAATTTATCTGCTTTCTTTGATTCATCAGACAATCTATTTTGCAGCTCTACAACCTGATACAAAATATATAAATTATATAACAATCTTAATTTTTATAATTTGAAACATTAGAAATGATCAACAAGGTGGTGGAATATACCTCAATGGTAGAACTCATGCTTATTATTCAATCCCCAGTGTGCCCCTCCCAACTAAACAAAATTAAAAAAAAAAACCAAACCATCATTTTCTTTTACAGGTTTATGAAAACTCTATCCCCACCATACTTAACTAAACATTATACAATCCATCAGTCTAATAGAAGGGAGAGAACTAGGAATTTAAATCTGCAAAGGTAAGATAGGCTTCCTAAACTGGAGTCATCTAGAACAATGATATCAATTATTGGAGAATCTATAGGGACTTTCATTTCTAGCAAAAATATTGAGAAGGAAAGAAGCAGAAAGGAAAGACAGGAAGAAATGCCAGTGAGGGTAAAACTCAATTACCTAGCTAATCTTATAAGAGGCTAAAACCCCAGTGGGAAGTTCATGCAGAAGCTGTGGCGAATGAGAGGTGCCAATTGCCAATAACAGGAACCTAGAGCTTTGAGTTTGAGAGGAATCAAGTGGTTAGTAAACAGTCCTGGCTGTAAAGGGTAAGGAGAAAAAAATAACCGCTCTGGGTCTGGAGGCGCACACTTTGAATCTCAGCACTCAAGAGGCAGTGTTAGACAGATCTCTGTAAGTTCCAGACACACCAGGGTTACATAGTGAAACTCTGTCTCAGGAGGAAGGGAGGGAGAGAGGGAGGGAAGAAGACAGGAAGATGCGCCAGCAGGCAAGGCAAATGAGTGCTGGGTTTAAAAGGAAATACCTTGGAAATGTGTAACCCTGGCCAGTTGATATGTAGATGTGGGTTTTAATTTTACTACTTGTTTTGTCTGGGGAAACTCTCTGGCAACAGAAGTGGTTGGTTCTGCTCACTAATGTTGAAAACTGTGGCTTGAGGAAACATACATATTGACTGGAGAAAAACCCTGAAATTCAGCACCATTCCCAAATGAACTAATGAATGAGCAAGACTGAAATTACACAGACAATGAGAAAAAGCTGCAATTAATCAGGCAATATTACTAGCAATTACAGTTTTATAAATTCACCAAGGATTTTAGGTTGAAATTGTCAAATATAACACATATATTAGATTTACTTCTTTTAAAAAAATGCATGCCTGTGATCTCAACACTCATTAGGCGGTGGCAGAAGGACTCAAGTTCAGGTACAAGGCAAGTCTAGTTACGGTACACAGTAACACTGAAGGTGAGGAATATACTTCAGTAGGACAATGTTTACCCAGCACACACAAGGTCAGGGGAAGAACACATTTTATGAATGTGAGACCATGACCAGAGCACACACAGAGAACTTGCAGAAAGAAAAATGTCCATAAAAAAAGAGTATTAAGAATCTGATCATGAATAGGCACAGAGAATTGGTGTTCTATGCAGTTTACTATAATATTTCTGTATATAAATTTTCTCTTAATTCTAAATTAGATATGCTTTATTAGTTCTAAAAATGTTCAGTGGCTTTTCCTTTTAATAATATTCTCCATTTATTTCTACTTTCTCCTCTAAATATATTACTGCTCATTTCATATTGCTTATATTTTAAGAACAAGTATAATGTTTTGGCTATACTTATTTTGAGTATATTTAATCCACATTCAAGTTCAATATTTCAGGAAGTTCCTTAAGTCTGCCATATAATTGAAACTTATAGAGTACTGAGAAGAGAATATATCCACCAAAGAAACTTGGAAGGTACTCATGATGTACGGGATTAAGGCATTTGCTGAAGAGCCTGAGGATCTGAGCTCATCCCAGAACACACATGGTGAAAGGAGAGAACAGATTCCTGCAGGTGTCTTAGGACTTCCATATGCATGTTGAGGCATACCTATGCCCCCTGCAACCAAATAAATAAAATGTAATAAAAAGAAAATAAATATAAAAACAGTTACAAATCATGTGGTGGTTAAACAAGAACAGCCTCTACAGGCTCCTATATTTGAATGCTTAGTCACCAAGGAGTGAACTTTTGAAAGCATTAGAAGGATTAAGAGGCAGCCTTGGAGTAGGTATGGACTTGTAGGAGAAAGTGTGTCACTGGGGTGGGCTTTGGGGTTTCAGAAGCTCAAGCAAAGCCCAGTGGCTCACTATCTCTTCCTGCTGCCTGCGGATTAGGATGTAGAACTCCCAGCTACTTCTCAGCACCATGTCTACTTGTATGCCAACATGCTCCCCGCCATGATGATAATGGACTAAACCTCTGAAACTGCAAGGAAGCACCCAATTAAATGCTTGCTTTTATAAGAGTTGCCTTAGTAATGGTGTCTCTTCACAGTGACTAAGACAAATCACAAAAACAAAACTTGGTAGAATATTCACTTGATTTTGTCCAAAAAGCCTAGAAGTGATTGGCAGTTTTAAAAAGCTATGTGTTGTGGTCAGGCCCTTGCAAGGCAGCACCAAGAAGTATCTGCTTGTGTTCTCTTACCTGTCTCTTGTATGTCTCAAGCTGACCTCGGGCTGCATTAGCCTTTCTTAATTCTTCCTCCAGACTGACAGTGTTCTGCATGTACATAGTATTCTTTTCTTCTAAGAGTTTAACCTGCCGCCTCAAATCCCCAAGGTCTTCCAGCTTCTTTTTATAAGATTCGACTTGACCTTCTAGTTTAGAGACTTTATCAGAAGAGTGTCTAAAATGAGATGGGAAATTAGTCAGAAACAACCCATAGCTGTAAATAATAATAGGACACAATATCAGGACTTAACTTGTATTAAATCATAAAACTTAAAGTGAATCTAGGTTTGCTAGATTTAGAAAAAAATCATAACCTAAATTACAGAAAAATATGTCATTAAGAATGTCTAAAACATAAGGAAAGTCACAGGAGGGTAACCAGCAAAATCACACTTAGCCGAAAAGTAAAATAAAATGTGGAATGTTCAAATGATTTGACAACTACTATGTTATTAGTGAATTCCAGTTAAGATTTTGGTAGAGAAGTGGAGATAAGAGAGTGGCAAAATTCAGGGGGTTGAGGAGAGTATAAATTTAACATATGCAGTCTTTAAAAGAAATATTAAAGATACCCGTGTGTGTGTGTGTGTGTGTGTGTGTGTGTGTGTGTGTGTGTAAGATTCAAGAGAAATGAATACTTGATACAGCACAATCCCTCAGTAGGCAAGAATGCTTGAGAATGTCAGCAGTGAAGGTCTTAGTACAGGATGGACAGAAGAAAGATGGGTGTGGATGTAAGGAGGCATGGAGAGTTAGCAGTGCACAGTGGCTCCCTCTTGGTAGTAGGACACAAAGACATCTAGTGATGGGGTGTGGTGGGTAGCAGACAGATGAGAAGAGTTATCAAAACATTTAACAGCTATGAGAGAAACGGGAAACAGGGCTATGTACTAGTGAGTAGTAGGCCAGGGGTAAGAGAGAAAGATCCCTCACATGTAATAGGACTAAATTACAGAACTATGCCATTTTCTCTGTACGCTTTAGTATTCTAAAAATAAAACAGGGATCCCAAAGAGGATGAGACTGTGAAAGAAACAGAATAGTGAACAGTGAGGTGCCTACACAGAGAGTATGTGACATGAAGGAGAAAATGGCCAGCAGAGAAATGAAACCAGTATGTAAGACACAGACGAAGGCCTGGAGGGCTCAGAACTAAAGAAGAGCAGCAGGAAGGAAAAGCCAGTGCTGGATGAGTGTGGAGTGACGGCCACGGGACGCTAACATTTACCTCACACTTACTTGCCCTATCAATTTCAGTTCTCACAAAGCCACTTCGTTATTCATTGAAACTTTAAACATCAGAGATGCCGGGGTCTGCACCATCTGCGATGGAGCTGTTCTGGGTGGCAGTGAGTCTGACAGTCCAGTGAGGGAAACCGTTTACCTGAGAACGTCTATTTCATCCTTTAGAGACTGAGCTTCATCTGCCAAGGCGGTTAGTTCATCATTCTGCTGCCGAAGCTCCGAGATCTCCTTTTCTAACTCCTCACAGCGTATTCGATAATCATCTTTCGCTGCTTCTAGTCTGTAACCAAAAGGAGACAGATAAAGAGCACTATTCAGTGTCTCACAACTCTACTTAGAAGAATAAAGGAAACAAAGGACAAGGCGTGTGAATGCGCTCTCCTGACACTCCTCTCAGCTCTGTAGCCACAAACTACCCACGTCACATCCGACAGAGACAGGCTGAATCGACTGCGTAACATAGTCACAGCAGGAGACACAGTAAAGTTTCCCAAATTTTTAACTGAGAGCATATATCAAGAAAAGAAAGGCCATACTTAAGTCCATATGAACTAATGTCACATTTTTGGTGCCTATCATCCAGTCTTATTTCTGTTCACACTATTTTCCCCAAACACGGGTTAATATTATTTCCCTATCTAATTAAACAGGTTTGTTTAGATGGTATACAACTTTCCTTTGCTTTACAGGTCCTTCCTGTCTCCTGTCCAAAGTATTTCATGAAGCTGACTACTTACTTTTAATTTGTAAATTTTATATAGTTCAACTGAATCTCATACGTCATAGTTTTTGCTTTCAGTGGACACTTTAACATTTCTTTCTTTTAATCCCACATTTTCTGACAGTATTATTAATGGTTTCAAATTTAACATTTAAGTTTTTTACTTCCCCTGAACCCCTTGTTGATATATGACAAAATGTTGAAACCAAAGTCTAACTTTATCCGCCACAGTAATTTGTTTTTACTAAAAATGACTTTAGATTTCAGGGTCAATTTCATATTTTCTTTTTTTTAAATTTAAAATTAAAAAAATAATTTTATGTGTATGGATGCTTTGCCTGCATGCATGTCTGTGTACCACTTGTGCGGCTGGTGCCTGCGGAGGCAAGAAGAGGGCGTCGGATCCCCAGGTCTGAAGTTACAGATGGTTGTGAAGTGACATGTGGGTGTGGGGAATCAACCACAGGTCCTCTACAACAACTGAAAGTGCTCTGGAGTGCGCAGCCGTCTCTCCAGCCCCTGCATTTCACATTTTCTCATTATTTCAACTCACCTTCAGGACTCTACTAGCATTCTTCCTGCCCTTCTCTCAATGTTCTGCCCTCCTCTGCTTCCCACAGAGCTCCTGGGCAGGCACTGCAGGGCAGCGCTGGGACACAGGGCCTGTGCTCGGTTTCTTCCCTTCACTCACTGATACCCTGCAGCTGAAGCGTCTGTGCCTTCAGAGTACATGGCTTTGACGCAATTTTCTTAGATGTGAAGGCATTTCATGATGTGTGCCAAGACTCTGGGAAGCTGTTTCATTAGACAGTCACCTGGGTCTGCAGTTACCCACAAGTCCTAAAACTCTATTCTTAACTATATTGTGTGTGTGTGTGTGCCTGTGTGTCTGTGTGTGTGAGTGAGAGAGAGAGAGAGAGACAGACAGACAGAGAGAGGATAAGCTTTTGTTGGAGCTGGTTCCCTTCTTCACCATGTGGGTTCTGCAGTGTGAACTCAGGCAGCAAGGCTTGGAAGCAAGCACCTTTACTGGCTGAGCCATCCTGGCTCCATTAGCTTTAAAAGACTGGTTAAAATTTAAGAATAGGTTGTAACGCGTGGTCTCTCACCTGAATGTCTCCTCTTGCAGCTGCTCTAACTGAGTCTGAAGTTGTAGATGTCTTCTTCCTGCTGGACTGTTGGGGTCTTCTATAGAGTCAGACTGATTGAGTCGCTCCATCAGTATCTGATTTTCCGCCAGTAGACTACTCTTCTCCTCTTGCAGTGCTGCAACCTGTGGGTTAGAAGGACAATGGTGATTCAACTCAAACTCTTGTGAATCGGCATTATGAATTAAAGCACCTGTCTGATTAGTTATTTTTTGTAGTGGGTAGCTGTTCCAGCTTTGACCTGAAAGTACTACCCCCAGTGAGGCTTCTGGTAACTGTCATGCCTACCTATGGCCTGCCCCTGAGTCAGGGCCGAGAAGGGAGCCCTTAAAACCCAAGATCTGGATATGTCAGCTCTCTTGGATCCTGGTGATCCTGGATGCTGGATGGTAGACCGAGCAGAGTTCTCCAGAGAACACCACTGGACCGCACTTCACCTCTCCCGGACCCTGTAACCAATCTCTTTACTTGTTGTAAGATACCCCAAAATAAACTTCCCTTTTAGCTATGTGGAGTTGCCTTAATAAATTCCCCAATAATTTTTGAGATAGGTTCTTACTATGTAGCCCTGGCTGACCTAGAACTCACTCTGTAGACCAGGGTGGCCTCTGTCTACTGTGGATCTGTCTGCTGAGTGCTACCTTACTTGGACAATCAATCTCTTGAAAACATCAACATTATTTTGAATGTTATACAAAGCAATATGTAAGAGTAAGAATTTTAAAAATTGATTTCTATTTATTTTGATAGGATCTTGCTACATTGTTCAGGTACTTCAAATTCTTGGGCTCAAGTGATCCTTCTGCATCAGCCTCCAAAGTAGCTGGGATTACAGGTCTAGGCCACCATACCTGGCTTTACTTTGTATTTGGAAAGACACTTCACCAGTGATGTACAGATGATAAATAAGCACACAAAAAGAAAAAAATCAACAGTCACCAAGTAAAAACAAATCAAAGGCACAAAATTATCGATTCAACTCTCATGACAATGGGTAGAATTTAAAAAGACTGAACCATCTGTTGGCAAAGATGAAAACAAAGTCTCAGGTACTTGTGCTAAGAATACAAACTAGGAGGCCAGCCTGGTCTACGAAGTGAGTTCTGGGGCAGCCAGGGCTGTTACACAGAGAGTACAAAATACTTCCAACACTTTGGAAGACATCGGTCTCCAGAACCCACAGAAAAGGCCAGATGTTGCCATGCATGCTTACAGCTCCAGTGTTGAGGGGCTATGACAGGCAGGTCCTGGAGCTTGCTGGCCAGTCAGCCAAGCTAAAACTGTGGGCTTCAAGTTTGTTGAGAGGCCCTGTCTCAAGTGAATATGGTGGGCAGTGAGAGAGCAGAGCAGCAGGGCACTCAGAATTGTCCCTAGCTTCTGAAGGCACAGGTAAAGTACCCAGTGCCCTGCAACCCACAGAAAGAAAAAGACTTGTACCCCCACTGAAAGTCCGAAAGTGAGTTTACTGGCACAACACAAAGAGTCAAGCACTGATATCACTTCTCTTTTTTCTTCTGGATTTAATATTCATTTATAATGAGTTTAATTAAATTACAAAAAAGACAGGTAACATTTTTATACAGCATACTCTTCTAAATCAGAACGTTATTTGCTTGTTTTTCTATTTTGTCTTATTAGGTTATATTATAGTGAAACTGTACCATGTGACAATCCCCAGTACATTTGATGGTGTTTGTGGTAGTATACACATAGAACCTCTTACTTGCATATCCAATTCATGGCATCTTTGAGCAATTTCTTCCTTTGCTGACAAAGCTTCATTTAGTTCCTCTGTAGTTTTCTTCAACTAGTTAGAAACAAACAAACAAACAAACAAAAAAGCATAAGAAAGTTTCAATATAAAATGAAGACACTACATAGGTGTAACACAAAATTAAAACATCTTTATTTCTTGGGAGGTAGTGTGGGGGAAATCAAGAATCTTCTTGGTAAAGACTGAAAATAAGACACTTTTGTTTTCCTTTTGTTTTTGGGCTTTTTGCTGAGGGTCTCACTACGTAGCTCTGGCTGGCCTGAAAGTCCCTACATATACCAGAAAGAATAGCCTCAAACTCAGAGAGATCTGCCTGGCTCTGCCTCATGAGTGCAGGGATTGAAAAGTGTGCCACCACATCTGGATTATTCTGATTCTTAAAGTCAAACATTTCCATGTCTAGTCCCTTAAGTTAGCAAATTAGGAAAACAAATTGAAATTTTTGTCTCTTTATTTCATATATATAAACCTCTGTCTAATAAAGCTACAAAACCAAAAATGTACCCACAACAGCAGAGAAACAATACCACAAAGAGAAAGGCAAATTATAACTTGGATTAAAATTATACCATATCCAAATATAACATTTAGAAACCCTGAGCCAAAAATAAAAGAAAGCAAAAGATAAAAAGTTCTGCTCATGCAAAATACTGTAAACTCAAAACTGACTATAACAGCATTTCATGCTTAAAAATACATTGCAAAGTTCTTTTTCAAATATAGCTGCTCCCAGCCAAGGGTGGCAGCACACTCCTTTAATTCCAACACTTAGGAGTCAGAGGCAGGTTGATCCCTTTGAATTTGAGGGCAGCCTGTTCTATATAGCAAGTTATGGAATAAAAAGAAAATAATGACTAGAAAACAGGAATTATTGCAAATTAAAGGAATTTGTTTTAAAGTGGGTTATGCAATATTACCATATTTTTTCTGTGCTACATTATCATTTCTCTGTGTGTGCATGTGTGCACATACATGTTCACCAGGGTGTGCATACTGAAGTCAAGACAATCTGACCTATTGTGTTCTCTCCTTTTACCAAGTAGGTCCTGGGGATTGAACTTGGTTCATCATATCTGCCAGCAAGTGCCCTTATCTGCTGAGCCACCTCACTGGTTCACACAGTACTACTTTTACAACAAAGTCTAAGCTTAATTATAATGTGTGATATCAATTGGCAAAATAGCTTAATTTTGTAAATTCAGGCAAAATATGAAATTTTTTATCAGTGTATTCCATAAGCAATTTCAACTGCATTCTTCTCACTAATACCTGGAATTCATCTGCCTCAACTGTTTCATGAATAAAGACAATTCTATACCTGGCGATCCAGATCGACATAGGCATCATTCCCAGCAGAGACAGGGGACTCTTTACTCATTAGCTGAAATGAAGATTTAAATGATTATGAGGCAAAAAGACATTCTAGGTAATACAACAAAATGAGCACTCAAACTACTAAAATAACAACAAATTAAAACACAAAAGCAAGCAACTGTTTTCTGTAGTTAATTCTTCTGACTGTTTTTCACTCCAAGTAATGTCTACACTTAAAATTAAACATGTGAAAGCTGGTGCTCATTTTCTCTGAGAGCCCCAGCTGTAAGAATCAAGCATAACTTATTCTTATCACTATGTTAGGAGCATGGCTAGACATTTAAAAACTGACTTTTCAGTAACAAGAGCAACAGCAAGTACTTCTTTCATTCTAAATAACACATGGAAAGCAGGGAGTCATGCTCTTCAGTGTTGTGCCCACTGTTAGCTGGCCTGCTCCACCCACACTTCCGCAAGCAATGCTAATTATCCCAGTGGTTCACAAAACAGAGCGGCAACAAAACCCCCAAAAGTCATGAAAACAGGAAAGGGATTTGTTGGGAAGGAGTTCAGTGGGAGAATGAGACAGTGCAATGGGAGGGGGGTAATCAAAAGGACCAAAATGTATTCATGTATAAAGTCACCAAAGGATAAGACTAAGAGACACTGTGAGGCTAGGCATGTCTCTTAGCGGCACAGCGCTTGCTGAGCCTATGCGAGGCCTGGGGCCACATGCACAGAATTCTATCAACAGCAGCAGCACAACAAAACCGGAAATTTCCTTTTATGAAAATGCCATAATGAAACTCATTGCCTTGTGTGTTAAAAAGGAATAAATATGAGCATCAGTGTTTCCCCAAATTAATGACAGTACATATGTCCCTCCCCCTGTATCTTAGACTCAAAGAGCACTAGAGAGGCTGAGAGGCAAGAGCACAGAATTCTCATCATGAACACTGTCAGGAGCAGCCTCAAATGCTCCAGGTCCTGAAGCGGGAGGAGGATGACAACAATCAGAAATATGCAGATGTTACAATCAGAGATCTTTTGATTTCAGCTTTTACTCCACTCTTGAAAATACTAAAATTTACAAAAGATTTTTTGAATTGAAAAAAAAAACAGCACCCATGTAGAAGAAAAATTCCAAATAAAATAATAAATGTTATCCTATCACCAAGAAATAATCACTTTGAAAAATTTGAGGTATGTGAGAATTGGCTGTCTGTACTAGCCGCGGCCCAAGCAGAGTTCAAGTAAAAAAAGGCAAATACAGTAATATATGAACAAATCTGCAACAGAGTATTCAGAGAGCATCTATCTAATTCAAGGGTGGGGAGAAGGGACCGTCTGGTTGTTTCTCCTCCTCTTCCTTCTCCTCCTCCTCCTCCTCCTCCTCCTCCTCCTCCTCCTCCTTCTCCTCCTATCTTCATCCTTATCACAACACAGCAGCTGCTGCTCTAGGAAAGGCTGACATCCCATTCTAAATGTGCCCTTCTGTCACTGCAGGGATTTCATCTGATTTTATGCAGACCTGCTCCTCGGCTTCCCTGAGCTCCCGGTGCTATCCTGCTTTACTGTTGCCAGCTTTCTCGCTTACATCCTTAGACTTTATAGTTTACAGTTGAATTCTCTTTCTTCTGCTAACATCTGTGGGGATTTTCCCTCCTTACATCAGGACTCCATAGCTCTTGTTTTTGAGTATGTGTTTGTTTCCCCCTTTTTGTTAAGACATGGTTTCTTATGAACCAGACTGGCCTTGAATTTCCTATTAACTGAGGATGACTTCAGCTTCTTTTTAAAAGAATTATTTTCTTTTAAAAAATAAAAGACTATATTATTTATGGTGTATAGATGCTTTGGTATACACACTATAGAATGGTTAAATCAAGCTAATTAACATACCCATTTCCTAAAATACCTGTTTTTGAAAGAACACATGAAAATTATTGACACATTAGTTGTACCGATGGCTTCACAGTTCGATTTCCATACATGCATAAATAAATTGTGCACTGATAGTTTCTATCTTCCTTCTCTCTTGCTCTCCTCCCTGCCTTCCCTGACACCCTGCTCAGACTGCTGCAATTCTTCTACTTTCGGGTGGTTTGGTTTTGGTTAAGAGAGGGTTTCGCAGCCCAAGCTGGCTTTAAATTCACTATGCAGCCAAGGGTGACCTTGGACTCCTGCCATATCTCCTAAGTGCAGGGATTACAGGTACGTGCCATTTTTTGCCTGGCTTCTTTTTAGTTTCCACATAGGAGAGAGAATGTGTGATATTTGTCTTTAGCTTATTTTGCTTAACATGATGTCCTCAAGTTCTAGTCATGTTACCGTCTAATCCTTCCGTCTCCACTTCCTGACTTCGGACATGTCTATGCTACCCAGCTTGGTTTATGTGCTAGGGGCAGAATCCAGGGTTTTGAGCATGTGAGACAAGCAATCCAACAACTGAGTGATCCCCAGTCCTACCATTTGTTTAACCAATTACCTTCTGTATTTAACCTAGATCTCATAACTTATTCCTTCTCAGTGACTTTCATCCATGTTCTTCTGACCTCATCATTTTTAACTAGCAAAAATATGGATTCAAGATCAGTCCAACCAAAGATCAATTCAACTACCTATCTTCTGCCCATATATCCTGACTAGTTAAAGAGATGAGAGAGGGAAAACAAAACAAAATTTAAAAAACCCAAAACAACAGAAAACAACCAAACCAAAACCAACAAAAGTGGTATTACTATAAATGTTCCTAATCTCCACCAAACTTCAAATTTGCTTGAAAGTAAATAAATGCTTCCCAGCCAGGAACCTGTTTATCCTCTTTAGATTCTTTTAACTTTTTTCCCTACTACTGATTACTTGATGTATATGAGTGTTTGTCTGCATATAGGTCTGGACATCACATGCATTCCTGGTACTGATGGAGGACAGAAGAAAGCTGTTGGATCCCCATGGGACTAGAGTTACAGACAGTTTTGAGCCACCATAGGAGTCCTGGGAATCAAACCCAGGTCTTGTGGAAGAGCAGCCAGTGCTCTTAACCATTAAGCTTTCCAGCCTCCTTTCAATTCTTTTCTATTTCTCATCGTGATTAACTTCCTGACTCCATAAAATCTCACTCCCAGGTAAGAATTTTTCTACGGCCCAATCTACAAAACCAGTAGCACCGCTTCCCCTTCTTCTTCACTGTTAACACACAGGAAATCCTTCCCATCCAAAGACACTCTCGCTACCTGTGCTCCTCATTCAGTCTCTTATAAGCTCCCCCAAACCCTGTTCAATTTATTACATCTTCTTGCTTACTTTTAAAAACCTCAGCCAGGCAGTGGTGGTGCACACCTTTAATACTAGCACTTGAGAGGCAGAGAGGTAGGTGGATCTCTGAGTTCAAGGCTAGCCCGGACTACAGAGTGAGTTCCAGGACAGACAGTGCTACATGGAGAAACCCTGTCTCATAAAAAACACATAACAAAAAAACCAAAAACTACTAACCTTGATCTCCTTTCCTTGTGTGTTCTTCCTACTAACATCTAATTAGTAAAAAGATTCCTTGAATAGATATTCTTGGGGCTGAGCTATAGCTCACTGGTAGAGCATATTTGGGGGCGTGGGTCTGACCTCTGGTACCATCTGCCACCATCCCACCTAGTCCCCCAAAATACTAAACTTCAAGTGATGCTTTTCTAAAAGATATAACAGAAATGGCCAACAAAGGCATAAAAGGATGCTCAGTAGCACCAGTCACTATGGAAATATGAAACAAAAAACAAACACAGTAAATATGAAGTACTACTTTATACTTACCAGGAAAGCTAGTCCAGAATTCCGTATCTGATACTCTCTCAACTCACAATGGGGTCATACACCCAACCCCCAGTTTCATAAGTTAAAAATGCACTGAACACACCTAACCTACTGAATAAACAGATTAGCAACATGGCACACTCTTGACTACTGTTAATCTTTATGATCATGTAGCTGGATTCTGGAAAATGCAGCACACTGCTGCTGCTACAAAACATTATGCAGGTCTTTTTCTCTCCCTGGACTTCCTTCCCTCTCTACAGGGTCTCACTTAGGTTGACCTTGAATTTCTGATACTTTTATTTCTAGCTCCTGAGTGCTACAATTACAGACATTCAACACCACGACCAGCAGGTCTTGCTTTCCATTTGCTTGTTGGACTCTACACCATTTTACCCCTCCCAGATCTCTATTTTCCTCTCACCTCGCCTCATCCTTCCAAGTTCAGTCTCACACCCCTGAGTGGTCTTGTTTAATGTCCCCATCCATTAAAGCTGTTCCCTTCAGATGGCTCTGCACCCCCGCCCTACCCCCCTTTATGGTACTTTTAAAACTGTATGAATGCTTTTTGACCATTTTCTCTCTGAGACTCTGAGAGGGAGACATACACACTCTATCAGAGAGAATATCTTTTTACAACTGTATCCTTAGTATTTGCTACAGTCTCCAGTGTACATTGGGTTCGAACTAAGTGTTTGCTAAATGAATAAAAGCAATATGCACACAACAGACACAATGTATTTAAAAACTTAATTAAGATATAGGGTACACACAATAAAAATAGACTTTTTTTTTCCCCAAGACAGGGTCTCTTTGTGCAACAGTCCTGACTGTCCTGGAACTCACTCTGTAGACCACGCTGGCCTTGAAATCACAGAGATTCACCTCCCAAGGGCTGGGATTAAAGGGGTGCGCCACCACTGCCCGGCAAAAATGGAAATCTTTTTTCAAGTGGCTATTCATCCTGTCTGAACCCCTGTTCTCTTCTTTAATTGGTCACCAACTTGAGTGCCGAGCTCTAATCAACGTACCTCTTGAATGGCTGTCATGACGACATGCTGAACAGACTCCTCCATCATCATAATGGCTTGAATGTACTCTGCAAACAAGAATAACCTGGAATGTCACTGTTCAAGTTAAAGGATGCTCAAGAGGTTGAAGGCTAGTACTCTACAAACCCTTACAAGCAGTTTTCTGTGTTTCATCTTTGTCAGAATCCCGTATTCGTGGCTACTGTGCCCCAAATATGTGACCAGGTAAGCAAAGACTGAACACCAAAATATTAACTTTTTTCCCCAAAGATATTTCGTTCTTGCATTTGTTTATTTGGTTGAGACTGGGTCTTGCTAGCTGTCCTCCACTCACTTTGAATCCTAGTTCGGCCTTGAACTTGTGATCTTCCTGCCTTTCTCTTGCGGAGTACTTGGATTATTGGGACATATTACCACAATCGGCTCCTCTCACCATGTCCTCTCAAGCTGATGCTGTAGGGAAAGGTCAGGGACGCAGCTTCGGCGTGAGTGCACATCAGGATAAACCAGTGGGACAGTGACACCCAAAGTCAGGGCAGAAAACAACCACATCACTTTTTCTCCACACATGCCGAAGGTTATCTTTTTTATTATTCTGCGTTACATGGTGAAAATACTCTGGTTTTATTCTTATGTGACATCAAAGCACTAAGTTATATCAATTCTTACCTTCATTTTCTTTACTACAGAAAGAAATAACTAAAATGAATTTAAGATAGACACTGAACCCGTAATTGAACTACTATATAATCCTAGCCTGCATCTTTATATGTAAAGCAGAAAGCACATCATTCTCACTTTCACCCCGGCTCAAACCAGGAGGGTCTCAGTGCAGTCACTCTAGAAGTAGTATTTCTTTCCTTTGACAAAGCCTTGCTAACAGTTTCCATTATTTCTGGATCCAACAGTGGATGACAGAAGCGGCTTAAGCACTAGAATCAATTAACACGACAGGTCCCCTTAAAGTTGTAGTACAGAGGCCCTGACTTCTGAAATGTACAAACACTGTCATTACACTCATCTGCCGGAATGCTGGCCATGATCCTCCCCCCAGCAGGTAACTGGTTTTTGTTTTAAGTATTTTAACACCACCACTGTGACACTATGACATCAAACACAGGAACTAGCACAACTCGGGTGGTTGTCAGATCCTCAAAACTAAAGACTAGGAATGAACATGGAAGAGAAGACGCAGTGGCATTGGTATGGGGAAATGAGGAAGTAACAGTATAAAGAGGTCAGGACATTAGTAGGTATGAGAGGGGAAGCGTTAGTTAAGAAGCGGTGTTGCCACGTCAAGGCCCTTCCCCGCGAACACCGTAAAGAACTAAATGATACATGGTGATGACAGCTAAATTCATAGGCACTGCTTTCAAACCTTAAAGTTAAAAATACAGTGACGTATGACTGTTTGGTAGAAACCCATGAGGCAATGCGGGAGAATGAGGCATACAACGTAAGGGAGCTCACCATCAATTTTATCAAATTTTTAGTATGATTTAATACAAAGAATAGAAAGCTTAAGGGCTGAAGAAATAAAAGTTTTCCCTACATCTACTACATTCATTACAATTAAGAAACTTGGCAAATCCTGTAATATTTGTAAGTCCCAACCTTATAATCTACAAAAAGTTATTTTCTGTTCTATTATTGCCTGGCAGAGTAGCTGATGGAAAGCAGACACCCTGGGCTGGCGAGAGAGCTCAGTAAGTAAGGGTGCTTGCCAACCAAGTCTGCTGCCTGGACTTTGATCCCACGATCCAGAGTGGAAAGAAAGAAAGAACGAACTAACTGACTTTCACAAATTGTCCACTGACCGTCACATGCACTCTGGCACATCTTCTTGTGCACCCCATAAATAAATGTTAAAAAAATCCTACCATCCCCCTACAAACCCAAAACACAAGGTTGATGTTATTATCAGTGTGCCTTTTACTACTAATCTCTGTCTTTTAAAACTGACCGCTATTTTATTTGCCCCAATTAGAGGTCAGCAAATACAGTCCGGCTCTCACCGACTACTTTTCACTTTTCCAATTGGAAACAATGTCTCAACACAAAGCAGATGCAGACGCAGTTTCATTGAGTCTTCATAGCTAAGAGATTCTGGAGATAAGGACAAAGGCAGAGAATATCTCACCCACAGGTAGGTAGTAAATTACTGAAGCACTTCTGAGAACCTCCTAGTCTATCTACTCACATTAGACATTCACAGTGATAATTGGTGATTAAGAAACTCACTTACATGATTCTTAGCTCTCTACTGTATTCCTGAAACCAGAGAACACGGCAAATCTAGGTAAGTGAAAGTTTAAAAATCTTGTTCAACTGGAACCTTCCTCCTTCCTTACTGGCTAGCTTTTATAATGCCGGAATGGGCTATACAGAGCACTAAGGGATATAAGCACCAACTGTTTGAAGCAGCTATGAACTCTGCCAGACAAGCTGTGACCACTAGTGCAATGGTGGCCTGAGTGTTATGGGAGTAGTTAACCACTTTCTATCTGGATGTTAGGCCTGCTCCACAGGAGGAAACCATATTTGGTATTGTAATTCTGGTCAAAAGCCCATGGCTTGGGAGGTCACAGTCCCTGGAGTTTTGCTATATGGAAATGACATCATACAGTCACTAAATATTTATGCTTATACATATAGATCAGTGCTGTTCTCACTCTTGGTCAGAAAAGCTTCTGTTTTCAATGGGCAATGATTAATATGATTAATACAGAGACCCCGAACTGAGTAAGTGGCTGATGAGTGCTCAGTCCTAAAATGAGACCTCTGTATCATCCCTCTAAGGCTCCAGGAACACTCTGGAACAGGGGACAAGAAAGAATGCAAGCACTAGAGGACAGGAAGGAATGCTGGGCATTGCTGTCTTCTGGAACAACACAGCTGGTGCACCCATCAACCCTTACCAATAATGGCTACCTGGACTAGACTGGGGCTATCAATGTGTCATCATTAAACTCTTTTTTAAGGAAATACAATTTAAAGCAATCCTAAGAATGGGAGTCGGGGGGTTGGGGATTTAGCTCAGTGGTAGAGTGCTTGCCTAGCAAGCGTAAGGTCCCAGGTTCGATCCTCAGCTCCAAAAAAAAGAATGGAAGAATGGGAGTCAGAGTGAACGGGTAGGGGAGCTTTGAACAAAAAACAAAAAACAGATAAAAACCCTCAGCTTCAATTTAAAGTAATTACAAAATACTATTTATCGTTTTGAATAGTTCCTGACCCCCCCGGTTCTCCAGCAACACTTCTCTCAATTCTTTCTTTACTATACAATTAGTTTGGTGGGGTTTTTAAGGTTCTAAAAGTTAACTTGAGCATTTCTTACTTTGAGTTATTTTTAACCAACCATCCTTCGGAGCTTTACTCAAATAACTTCCCTAACTCCATGTCTAGACTCTCCCATTACATTTACCTTCAGATCACATATCATTACTCTGTAAATACTTGTGCTTTGACTTTTTTTCCTGCACTCCAGTTCTATGAAGGGACCCGAGCCTGTTTTGTTTGGTCCTGTAGTCCTCTTCCGTAATGTGAGTTCAGGAAATATTTGTGACATAAATCAAATCTACTTTGGACCTGGAAGATGGTTCAGTGAGCAGGGGTGCTGTGCTAGCATTAGGACCCAAGTTAGAATCTCTGGTACTCAAATAAAAGATGGGGACAGCTGTACATGCCAGTAACCCCAGAACTGGGAGCAGACAGGCAGAGCTTAGGAACTCTCTAGCCAGCCAGCCTAGCCCAAACAGGCAGGGAACTTAAAGTTTGTAGGATTCCCTGTCATGAAGAACAAAGTGGAAAAATGATAGAAGATGAAGTCCAATGTCCTTCTCTGGCCTCTGTATGCAAATGCATGAGAGGCACACACCATGTGCATGCATCATGCACCCCCCCAACAGATACAGAAACACGCCCCCCCCCCCCCCCCCCCCCCCCCCCCGCCCAAAAGCAAAAGTAATGCATTTACTTTATGTATGGTAAATTTGAAAGTATTTTAAACAAGTGATCCCCATATAAACAAGTCACATTTTACAAAGGGATAAAATAAAAAACCCTAAAAATAAAAAAGTACATTATTACCTATGTATCAAAGCTGGTCTTCAAGTAATTTCAACAATGTCACAAAGTGGAATTGCTATACACATAAAAATACCGTACCTTTTCTAATATCTGCAATCTGAATTTAACCTACTAAAAACTCACTAACTTCTCTAAGTCTAATTAGTGGTATTACTAATTTACAGTCCATATATTTATAGAATGAGTATGACTCATCCCATAAATGCCATCTAGTAAGTGACATTTTAAAAATTCACTTACAATGGGAAATTAGTTTTCTCCAATGGGTCTCACTGGGTATATTAAACCACACTGAATGCCCAACACTAAATGGCCAACACAAAATGAACTCAATGTTACTGTTGGAGACTTTTTGCCTCTTACTGCTTTGATTGGGCAAAATATTTTTTCTCACTCATCTTTTGTCTGTATATTATGGTTGATCATCTTGTGTTTTTATGGATTTCAGTTGTTTGTGTGTGTGTTTTGTTTTTGTTTTCCTTTAAGGAGAGAGAGAAAGGAGCTGCATGCCTGTGGAGATGGGAAAGATATAGGAGGAGTTGGGGGAGGGGAATCATGATCAAAATACATTGCATGAAAACGTTTTTCAATAAAATAAATTGTGATGATGGCAGGTATGGTAGCCATGCCTATAATCCTAGCACCCCCTATAATCCTAGCCCTCCCTATAATCCTAGCACCCCCTATAATCCTAGCCCTCCCTATAATCCTAGCCCTCCCTATAATCCTAGCCCTCCCTATAATCCTAGCCCTCCGTATAATCCTAGCCCTCCGTATAATCCTAGCCCTCCGTATAATCCTAGCACTCCCTATAATCCTAGACTCCCTATAATCCTAGCCCTCCCTATAATCCTAGCCCTCCCTATAATCCTAGCCCTCCGTATAATCCTAGCCCTCCCTATAATCCTAGCCCTCCGTATAATCCTAGCCCTCCCTATAATCCTAGCCCTCCCTATAATCCTAGCAGTCCCTATAATCCGAGCATCCCCTGTAATCCTAGACTCCCTATAATCCTAGCACCCCCTATAATCCTAGCATCCCCTATAATCCTAGCACTCAGGACGCAGAGGCAGGCAGATCTCTGTGGGTATGAGGCCAACATGGCTTACATAGCAAGTTCCAGGCCAGCCATGGCTACACAGTGAGATACTGTCTCAAAAAAATAAAACTGTGGCTATTAGAACTTACATAAGTGAAATGGAATTGTTTCAAAACACTATATAAACATATATACTTAGAAAAATCACATTTCCATGAAATTAAAAAAAATCACATTTTCATGAAATTAACATTGTTTGAAACATTACTATGTGCAAGATATCGTGCTGTTTTATATGTTTTGTTACTTAGACCCCCAAATAATCTTGTGAGGTAGGTACTAAATGTTCATTTCCTAAGAAAATAAAATCAAGATTAGATTTGCCCCGTATCTCTTCATAGACTGTAAGAGTGCAACTATATTTGAACACAGGGTGATTGGGCATTACGGTCTGTCCTCTTATTCTGAAGCACAGAAATATTTCCTAAGCTATCATTTTGCAAACTAAATTAATAAATATTTTAATAATAACAATAAATGTCACCATATCCAATGTAGTTAAAATGCATTAAGAAGAATGTATTCAGGCTAAGATGTAATTTAATAATATATGCTTAGTATGAACAAAGCACCAGGTTCCACAGCCAGCATAAAAAATAAACATAACAATACAAAAATTATTCAATTATACAGTCTTACAGAAAGGGAAGGAATATGACCATAATCAAAATTAGACTACCTTTCAGAATTCATTTAAACTTGAAGGCAAAATACCAGCAAAGCTGTAGGAGATGGGTAGTCATGGAAAGATGCCATTTATCCTGGTGCTTTATATATGAAGTACACAATATATATTACTTTCATTAGTTACCTTGCTTCTGTTCACAGTTCACAGCACAGCCTAGAATGAGCTGGAGCATCCTTCCGAGCTCTGCTGCATCAGAATGCTCCCCAATAAGGTTCACATCAGGAAGGGTAAAATCATTAATCTGCTGTCCTAAAATCTGAATGGAGACAAAGAGATTATAATTACATTCATATTTATAGCACCAAATAAAATATTTAATAGACATTGATTTGATAACACCAGAAATTCACTGTCAAGGCCAGAGTTGTTATGTCCACTTGCCAACCTCACTCCCAATTTCTATCCTTATTTCCCACACCTAACAACTATCATGTATCCTAGTAACTTAGTCCCTAATCTGGTTAGTGGTATGTACACTGAACAAAAATCCATTATACTATTGACCCGTCTGCTGTTCTAAGAAAGCTTAGATGTTTGCTCTCTGATGAATTATAACCAGAATGGTCTAAAGTAAAAGACATCCAAAACATGTGGGATTAAAGAATTCACACTACCAAAAGTGAGATTCTCCATTGCTGCCTTCACTTTGTCTCTAAAACTGTTGGTAGTCAGATACTCTTAACAGGAATGAGAACGGAAGATCCTTTTAATGGAGAATTTAGTTCCAAATAAAATAATTTATGCAAAGAGATGGGAATTTCTCTGCTGGATAACCTGTCAGTGAAAGCCCTGTAGGGGGTAAGGAGGTAGACCAGTTGGTAGAGCACCAGCCTACTTCCAATCTTAGCACCACATAAACTAGGCATGGTAGTGCATGGGTATAATCCTAGCACTCGGAAGAGACAGATAACCAGAAGTTCAAGGTTACCCTTGGCTATACAGGAATGTACCATTAATGCAATTTAATTCCTCCTCTGCATTCGTAAATCACTCTCCAGCAGTAATTAGAAACAGGAAAAAGAAACTGTTCTGCAGCTCATGAAGACCTCAAAAACCAGCAGTCCTGTTTCTTGTCCTTGAGCCAGGGCTGTACTTGGTTCCATCACAATTATGTCTTGACCAGAGGCCCGAAACGCCAAAAATGTTCAGAGGCACTGGTTTGTGTTCTAGTTTCTTGCTATCATTCTTCTAGGTTTACAAAGCAACCTAATGAGCACAGCTGCCTGGAAGCCAGTGCGTGACCAGGTGCTTCTCTGATCCTTGAAGGTGTGCCAAATTTCCAGTCTAGCCAGGAAGTTGTGAACATGTTAATGAATACCTTGTGTGGGACAACTGGCCTGAGAAGCTCCCTCCCATGCCTCAACCCAGCAAAGCCTTATTAACTCTGAAACAGGGACCATTAGTGGCAACCCTTTCTCGCTTCCTTCCTCTTAAGCTATCTTCTATAATAAAACTCCTTTCTAAAACTTAACCTTCTGTTGTTTGTGAAATTCATGTTTGAATTCACAACATAAAGGACACAGAAGCCACTAGCCTGGGGTAGCTTTAGTGGCCAGGGACCCTAGTCCCTTAAGTAATGTCACCGAGTGAGAAAGGACTCTCATATTTAAGGGCCTCCCCTCCCCTGCTTTTCTCCCCTGAGATATATATATATATATATATATATATAATATATATATATATATATATATCCTTTTGAAATATATATTAATTGTATTTTAATATATATATATATATTAATTGTAACAGAGATGTCTACTGGGAAGAAACTGAATAAAACGGTTGGAAAAAGAATAAAATAAAGATGTACTCATAGGAATAGAAAATATAATAGGAAGTTTCAATGGGCAAGAAAGAAAGGTATGCAGTTATCTCAGGAGTAGATAAAAAATATAAGCAGTAAAAAGAAAATTTGACTGAGTAATTAAAAAAAATCTGAGTAATTAAAAGATCAATCCAGGAGGCTTAAAGTCTCACTGGGAGTTCTGCAGAATAAACAGAAAAAATGAAGTAGAAAAAAATGTCCTAAAACTGGTAGATATTCAGTTTTTAAGGACTTGCTGAGTGTTGGCCATGCATAATAAAACAAAACCCATGCTCAAAATGCACCTCGCATCAAAACACATTTTCATGAGCCCTTAGAGATAAATAAAAACAAATCAATCCTCAACAAAGAAGTTGCCAAAAGGGAATGGGAATCCACGTGAGAGATTTCAGCAGCAAATCTAGAGGACACTGGTGAACAAGGCTGCAATGGCTTCCACTCACAGCCTAACTCTCAAGGAAGAAGAAATAAAGGTCAAGGCCTAAATCTCAGTATGTACTTCTGAAGATGGCATGGTTAAAACGTGCTCATCAATGTAACAGTAAACCCAAAGCTGGACATGTCGGGATGCCTTTAACACCAGCACTCAGAAGGCAGAGGCAGGTGAGTTCAAGGTCAGCCTGGTCTACAAAGTGCACGAGACTTTGTCTCACAAAGTAAACCAGCAAAGAGAAATGCAAGTACACAAGAGTCAATAAAAGGAATGTGATAGAAACAGGGAGAGGAATTCTCAGACTGCATATGAAAGGTAATGGCAGAACATAAGCTTATTTGCTATTCTTGTTGATTCTAGTTAAGAATGAGCACCCTTATACTTTACTGCAGGAATCTCAATACAACAGGTCCTTACCCAGAACCCCCTGAGTATTCACAAAATAGAGGATACAGGTATCACGTTACTTTTCTAGAGTTTGAAAAAAACCCTGAATTTTAAAATGGACCTCATCTAAAGGATTTGATTCAGACTATGGACCTTCATAAATGTTTCTGTAGGTATACTTATGTAGATGTCTACAAAGTGCTACCATATTGCATATACAGAACTAATAAAAAACATTTGTATAGTCGAATACTACTTGCCTAATAAGTATTTTGTAATTTCCTTGTTGTAAGACATGTGGCTTATTTTCAATTTTGCATCCTATAAAATAATATGGAGGTGGACAGCTCTAAGTAGTTTTATTTTATTCTACTTTTTTTTTTTGAGCCCTAAGTCACTATGACGTTGCCCAAGTTTGCTTCAAACTCCTAGGATCAAGAAATTCTCCTGCTTTACCCTCCTGAGTAGCTACATAGTTTAGACAAATTCTGAATATAAAGTTACTGTGTCAAGGTTGGAGTGGCTCAGCAGCAGGAGGTGTCATCAGGAGGCTGGTATCGGTGGTTACATACAGAGGCAGAGGCCAGCCTGTCCACAGGAGAGCCTGGGTTTGTTTTTTTGTTTTCATACTGTTTCAAAAGATGTATATTTTACAAAACTTTTAAAATAAACAAGTATTCTACCTTCATGAAGTATATGGAGTGAGTAAAAGACATATAAAGCAAATAAAGTAACTGTAGAAAAAAAACAATTACAAATTACAGCCAGTGGGAAAAAAAGGAAAAGAACACTGGTTAAAAGGTTAAAAGGAGAGGCTGGCAGTGAATCACGTAGTAGGACTCACTATGTGTAGTTGCAAAACAATAACAATGTTGAACACTTTAGTCCTGCTCGCCAGCACTTGGTATATAACTAGGCTTTCAAAAGCACATAAGGAAAGCTCCAAAGACGCAGAGACTAGACTTATCTCCTCTCTAAGCACAATGAGCATAGTCGGGTCACGCTGACTGGAACGCAGAATGGTGCTGCAGACTGGAAGTCCAAAGCATCGTCAAGGAAGATTTTGTGGAATATGAGGGTGAGATTTTGTGGAATATGAGCAAGAGGGTGAGAAAAACAGAAAGATAACAGAGAAAGAGAAGAGGTATGTACAGAGAGGTACCTGAGCCTGGGTCTCTCACTGTGAAATACTGATGGCAGCACTCCATGTGGTCAGAATACAGCAACCAAACTACAGTGACATGCAGCAAAATAGTCCCTAAGATATCAACATGATCTCTTCTGACATACAATTTCTATTTCCTTTCCATTGTGATACTTTTCTGAGAAAATTACTACTTTTAATTTTCAAATTAAGCAAATATGGTGCTCAGGGTAAAAACAATTACTTCTCATAATTCCCAAAGATCTAGTAAATATCACTTTTTAGTACCCTTACAAATAACTTCTGGCCAAAGAACAAACAAAGAAAGCCACCCCAACAGTTACGGTCTTCTGCACATTTGTTCAAGATGTCTAATATTTACCCCAAGAGCTCTTTTATATACAACAATTTTCTTGAAAATTAATACTGATTTTTAAGTTATTTGAGATGATTACAAACTAACTGCTCACTACAACACAGCATTGCTGGTGGCTGGAACTGAACAATGACTACGTCAGGTCTGGATCCAACCTTATTTCATGACTAATAATATAAGGGGTGAGATAACCAAATAAATCTGCATAAGACAAGAATGCAGACTGATCCTCAATGTAAGAGTAAACCATTTGAGCCAGGCGGTGGTGGCGCAGGCCTTTAATCCCAGCACTGGGGAGGCAAAGGCAGGTGGATCTCTGTTGAGTTCAAGGCCAGCCTGGTGGTCTACAAAGTGAGTTCCAAGACAGGCTCCAAAGCTACACAGAGAAACCCTGTCTCAAAAAATCAAAAGAGTAAACCATGCAAGTTTGGTCTGGTCTGGTGGCACAGGCCTTTAATGCCAGCTGCTTGAGAGACTGGTGCAGAAGCCTATCATGTTCAAAGCCTGCCTGGGCTAAAGTTCAAGGCAAATGGGACAAATTAATGAAACCCTTCTGATCTAAAAAGAAACAGGGCTAGGGGTATAGCCCAGTGTGAGAACATCTTCCTAGCAGGACTGCACAAACAACCCAAAGAAACATGGAAGACTTAAAATGGGAATTAATGTACTCTCTGTTTTACTTCTTTACAATTGTCCTGGCTGGACAGAACTACAGAACAGTGAAGTCAAACTGCCCCCAGCTACTATTTTAGCAGTCGAAGTACAAACTAAGGACAGCTTGGTTCTGGGTGGTAGCAGCAGAGATGGAGAAAGCTCCATTTTGAAGGTCTAAGAGATTTTGCTGATGATATTAAAAGAAAGACATCCCAGCACTCAGAAGGTAGAAGCAGAAAAATCAGAAGTTCAAGGCCACCTTCAGCTATATATTGAGCTTAAGGCTAGCCTGGCCTACATGAAACTCCGTCTCAAAAAAATAACAAATAGGAAAACAAATCAAATCACCAGGCAGGACATGATAGCTCATACTAGTATACTGGCACAAGAGAAGTGGAGGCAGGAGGACTGTCCATGAGTTGGAGGCCAGCCTGGGTGCAGTGAGTGACTGTCCCCTTTAGGGACAATCATAAGAAAGTCATCTTGGAGCACTCAGCTGCATCTCCTGCAAAGATCATCCATCCAGCTGGCTGAGCTTGCTGATGATTTATACCTCAGAACAGAGGAGTGAGAAGGCACAGGATTCCCACCTGAGTATCCAGCTGTTTCCAGGTGCAGCTCTACCTTAACTGCACATGACTTGGGAGGGGTAGTATATATAGGCCAAGGAAGACTGTATCTACCCCTTCTGGGTAAAGGCTTTTCAGGTGTGGCCTTTTTAGCAGCGGGAAGAGAAGCACCCACATCCCTTTAGTAATCCCTCCCCTACGCTCTGTAAGGAAGCCCAATAAACGCATTGGTTTCTAAAGAGTGAACTTGGGTGGAACTGTGCCTCCATTTGTCATTGGGACTTTAAGAGAAGGGGTAGATGGTGCTTATATCTCTCCCTGGGAAGGAATTTCAGTAATACTGGGCTACAAAATAAGTTTCTGGACAACCTGTATTCTAGAGCAAGCCTGTCTGAAAACCATGGGAAGGACTATAGAATGATACCGAGGCTTGACACTTGCATTCTAGGTTGGGTGTGATGGAACAGTAGTTCTCAACCTTCCTGATGATGTGACCCTTTAATATAGTTTCTCATGTTGTAGTGACCCCAACCATAAAATTACTTCATTGCTACTTCATATGTGTACTTTTGTTATTGTTATGAATTGCAATATAAATCTCTGATATGCAGAGTATCTGATATGTGAGCCTTGTGGGGTCTCAACCCACAAGTTGAGAACCACTGTGATACAGTCACTAAGATGGAGAAGATTAGATACTATAGATAGAAACGTGGGTATCTTGCTTGCAGGGGGAAAAATGTCAAGAAAATAACACATTTCTAGGCAATTTTACGTCCTATTGGCATCTGTAATCATGAAATTAATTAGTTCTGCTGCGTGAATATCTCCCCATGCCTATGTTCTGATATATCTGATCTCAGAGAATGAGGAGAGTTCACCTAGGATCCAGGAGCTTGCTGAAGAATAAAACACAAGCTGCAGGGCCAATCACCACAGTCCAAACAAGCGCTAAACTACCTTCACAAGTACAGAAAGAAAAGAGTATAGTAAAAACAAAATTTAACATATTTTAATAACCATGCACAAGTTACTCATAACAATGAAAATTACTGGTGTGTTCACCACCTAAGAGACGACTGGTTATTTGAACCAATGCTAGATAGGGGAAGATAGAAACGATTAATTTTAAAATGTTTTCTCTTAAGCTTGAAACTATAACAAATTTAAACTATTCTGTAATATTTCCAAGTAGAATGAGAAAAAAAAAATTTTACCTCATGATTGTAATCCAAGATTCCTTTTAAAATTTTCTTTAAGTTACTAATCTGTTTAGAGAGAGAAGAAGTGGGTGAAAGGCAAGCACAGATCTTAGTACAGAGTAACATTAAAACCTCCAGTGAATCACAGAGCAAGTACAAGCTGAGTATTCCCAGACCACAACTCGGAAGTCTAAAGTGTGCCAAACTCCAAACCTTTTGGAACAGCATGTTAGTACTTTAAAACATTTGGACTTTGGAGCATTTCAGATTTCAGATCTTGAGATTAGGGATGTTCAACTGGTCAAGTTTATGCAACTTTCTAAACAAACAAACAAACAAACTCCAAATCTCCCCAAAAATCTCTTCTATAATCTGAAACACTTCTGGCCCAATTCACATAATGGATATTTAAACTGTGTAAAAAATAAAACTTAATAGGATATTTGAAGTAACAACATCATGAAAAGACTATTACTTCGTGATAACACTATGGGGAAATGAATAATACCTAACAGATTATACAGACTTTTGATAAGTAAAGGAAATAAAATAAAACTTAAATTCGTGCTATTTTCTCTAACTTCAGAGTATTAAACAGAAACTATTGTGAAACTTATCCTTGAAAATCTTCAAAAAAAATTTAAAAATTAATTTACATATATGGGTGTTTTGCTTGCATGCATGTTGGATTCCCTGGAACTGGAGTTACATAAGGCTGTGATCTGCTGTGGAAGTTGGGGAATTGAACCCGGGTCCTCTGGAAGAGCAGCTCTTAACTGCTGAGACATCTCTCCAGCCCCTTGTTGTCTTAATCCAGGAAAATATATGTCCAAATTCCTCCACTGTCAAGGAAAGGCTGCCCTTTAGCTGAATACTAAACAAAGTAAATAATTATAACCCTGGTAGCACATGCCTTTAATCCCTGCACTTGGGAGGAAGAGGCAGGCAGATTGCTGAGTTCGAGGCCAGCCTGAGTGAGTTCCAAGATAGCCAAGGGTACACATAGTATTCCCGTCTCAACTCCTCCCCAACAACAACAACAAAATTACTACTGCATCCTGAAATACTAAAACAGACTAACATTAAGCATTGCAAAAGTTTTGCTGGTGCTTTAAGGAGGACCATAAATGAGGTAAGAGGAGGAGTCTTACAGTGTCTCAGTGTATTAACTCACTCCAGAACTTAAGTTCACTGGCCATTTTTATCTGGGTGAGATGACAGGCAGATTCACTGCATTATTTGATTAAAAACTCTTAAGTTCTCATCTGCTTTGGACGCTTCTCATATAGTCAAATTCGTATTGGGTTAAATGTGCCATATTCTGCCAATCATCCTTGCGATCTAGCTGAGTATGCTCAATGTTAGTACTTATACGGTAGTTATGATGCTTCCTTATATGAAATGCTTGGGATCAGACGCGTTTTGGATTTAGGACTGATGATGCTCAACCTGTAACTGGGTGTGTCCTAAAACAATATATCCTAGAACAAAAGACAATATAGCCTGAGGTTATCAAATGAAAGAGGCTGCATTATTTAGTTGCAACCTTCTGGTTGAAAGCATTTTTTAAAATATTTATTTTATGTGTATGAGTGTTCTGCTTGAATGTTTGCATGTATGTGCACCACGTGTGTGCCTGGTGTTCTCCAAAGTCAGAAAGGATACTGGAGTTTCGGAATGGGAGTTACAGATGATTTGGAGCCACCGTGTGGATTGCTGGCTACCTAACATAGGTCCTTGCAAGAGTAACAAGTGTAACAAGTGCTCTAAACTGCTGGGCAATCTCTCCAGCCCCTGAAAACATTTATTTTAAAGAGAGAAATAAATCAAAACGTTGGGTATTTATTAAAAACAACAAAACAAGCATAGGGTGCTTGCTTATGTCTGTTAATTCAAGAGGTGAGGGCAGGAAACTGAATTCAAGGCAGATGTAGGCTGTATAGCAAACTATCTAAAAAACAAAAACAAAACTCAGTATCATAAGTAAAATTAACATTTTGTATTTCTGGAAACATTTGGATTTGGAAAATACATCATTTATTTCCTTTTTTGCTCTTCTAAGCTGTTTATTTTTCATACTTCCAACATCTAAAAGTGGAACACCTTAAAACTGATACAGTCATTTAAAATAGTGGTTTTCCCCATGGCAAAATGCTACATCATCTTATTTTAACCAATGGCATCATACAATTGAAGACGCGCTCCATAGCAAGTTTATACCACTTGCCATAGAGAGTAAATGGTAGAGCCAGGCTCAATTGAATGTTTTCCTTTGTAAGATTTGCTGTGGTCATGGTGTCTCTTCGCAGCAGTAGAAACCCTAAGGAAGACAATATACAACACAAATATTTAAAGATTTAACAGCTGTAAAAGCAAAAAGAAATACCTTTAATCTCCAGTTGTCTCCCACTTCAGTTTTGATTCTGTTTAGCCAATTATCATCAAAATATGCAGGATCTCTGCAAGTAAAGAGAAGGTGGATTAAGACCCGTAGCTGTCATGCTTACACCCAATCCCATCTCATGTCATCATTTAAGTGAGCTATAAAAATATGTATATGCCACATATCAGTCATTAAATAATCTATGAGACCAGATGTAATAGCACATTTTCTAAAATCAGTTTGAATAGTTTTGGTAATAAATTAGTTATAGAAGATGTATTACAAAATGGATATTTTATTTTAAAAACTAAAAGGTACAATGTTAATAGTTAATATATTCTAAAAGTGAGTTATAGTTGAGTAAACAAAACTAGAGTTGTTGATAGCATAAAACCATCTAAAACAACTAAAAAACAATGACAACCTTTTTATTTTTTTATTTTATTTATTTATTTATTTATTTATTTATTTTTTGGTTTTTCGAGACAGGGTTTCTCTGTGTAGCTTTGCGCCTTTCCTGGAACTTGCTTTGGAGACCAGGCTGGCCTCGAACTCACAGAGATCCGCCTGGCTATGCCTCCCGAGTGCTGGGATTAAAGATGTGCGCCACCACTGCCCGGCTGACAACCTTTTTAAAAAGACACATGATCTCGCCGGGCGGTGGTGGCGCATGCCTTTAATCCCAGCACTCGGGAGGCAGAGACAGGCGGATCTCTGTGAGTTCGAGGCCAGCCTGGACTACCAAGTGAGTTCCAGGAGAGGCGCAAAGCTACACAGAGAAACCCTGTCTCGAAAAAACCAAAAAAAAAAAAAAAAAAAAAAAAAAAAAGACACATGATCTCAAGAAAGTAAAAATGAAGTTATATAGGCAAATATAGTCAAACAAGGGTAGACCCTAAATATACACATCCTTATTTTTCCTAGGAAATCCTCCTATATTTATATTTGGGAGAAAAACCAACCAACCAACAAAACAAAAAACCTACCCAAACTTCTCAAACTCAGCATGAATATCACTTTAAATTTTTCAAACTGAAGCTCTAAGAAATGATTTTTCTAAGACCACAATGGAACATCTGTTTGTCCTGGTCTGGCTAGTATTAAGTCCAAGATCTTTCCATAACATAACTATCTATTCAACCAAATTACAGAAGAGTATTGGAACAGGAATGTTAGTGAGGGGAGGGGAGTGATTTACATTTCAATTTTTACTGTAATTGAAATTCAATCAGTAATGAGTTTTATTTCAGTTAATTTTTTTGTTTGTTTGTTTTGGTTTTGGTTTTTCGAGACAGGGTTTCTCTGTGTAGCTTTGCGCCTTTCCTGGAACTCACTCTGTAGCCCAGGATGGCCTCGAACTCATGGAGATCCACCTGGCTCTGCCTCCCGAGTGCTGGGATTAAAGGTGTGCGCCACCACCGCCCGGCTTCAGCTAATTTTAAAACAAGCAATTGGCTACTTAGGATTAAAAATTTTGTTACAAAAATAAATGTACTTATTTCAGAAATAGTATATATAAAAAGGTTATAAATTATATCCATCAAAATAATTTAAAACCTATATTTAACCACTATATAATATACTAACTTGTCTATGCATCTTTTCAAAATTTATTTTTATTATTTTAATAATGGGTATGTGTATGTGAATGAGTGTGCACAAAGAGGTAAGAAGAGGGCAGTAGATCCTCTGGAGCTAGAGTTATAGGCAATTGTGAAAAATGAACCATCTGATATGGTGCTGGAAACTGTACTTGGTCCTTTGGAAGAGCAGGAAGCACACTTAACTGCTGAGCCATCTCTCCAGCCTCCTAAATCATCTACCTTAAAACCAAAACCAAAACCAAAACCAAACACGGTCTCACTGTGTAGTCTTGGCTGGCCTGGAACTCTCTACGCAGACCAAGCTATTCTCTAACTCAGAGAGGTTCACCTGCCTCCGCCTCTCGAGTGCTGGGATTAAAGCCATGCACCACTCCATTGGGCCATTATCTACTTTTAAAAATCGATTAAGATATAGTTCACATTTCAGGTATTTATTCATTTAGACAATACAAATCACTTCAGAATACAATACTGATAGAACTGCACAACCATCACCAGCATGTTAAAGCTTCTGTGTCTTCACAGAAAAGGAAGTGTAGGTGATGGAGATGGCTCAGTGGGTAAAAGCTGTACAGCAGTGACAGCCTGAGTTTGGATCCTCAGTGCCCATGTAAAAGCCAGGAGCAGAGGTACGTGTCCAACCTGAGTATAGAGGGAGCAGGGTCCATGGGGGAAGGGGCTTGGGGGTGGTAGTGGAGACAGGTGGATCCCTTGGTTGAAACAGTGAGATCAGAATAAAAAATTGTGAGAGTCCCTGTCTCAAAAACCAAGTTATGAAAGCTATCAAGGTCAGACATCCAATGTCAACTTTTGGAGACATCTATATGTACATTCATAGAGCAAGAGCACCTGCATACACAAGAGAAAGGGGGGAAAAAGGGAGAAAATAAGGTAAACCTTGTATCCACCAGCCGTCTTTCTCATTTTTTTATTTTCTCACCTCTGGAAATTACTAATCTAATTTCTTTGTTCTTTGCCCTGAACATTTTAATGAGCAAAACAGTAAACCATATGATCATTTATGTCTGACTTCTCTCAGTTAGTACGATTCTAAGGTTTTCGTGTAATGTAGCATGTACCAGGACTTGACTGCTTTAGGGATAATGGCCAAGTCCCACATAGCATGTCCATCCACGGTCAACTACAGTGAACCCACAATACTGTATGGCCTATTTTGTGTTTGCACAAGATGCATTTCTCACAAATGATCTCTATGATAAATGACTACTACATTATGTTTATTCATTCATTAGCTGATGAATATTTGGGTTGTTTTTACTTTTGAGCTATTATAAATAATGATGCTTAGCAGTCATGTACCAGTTTTTGTATGGACATGGTTCATCTGGGGTGGAATTGCTGGGTCACATAATTCTGTTTAACATGAAACTTGCCTGTGGTGGTTCATGACTTCTTTTCACTTTAAAAACTTTGTGTTTGTGTACATATGTGTGCAGGTGCCCATGGAAACCAGAGGAGGAACTGGATCCTCAGGTGGTGGATGCAGGTAATAGTTTTACACTGCCCAACAGCGGTTTGAGGAACTGAACGCTGGTCCTCCACATGAACAGCAAGCACTGTAAACCAATGAGCCATCCCACTAGTCGCCCTTTCACTTTCTTTTTAAATTTATTTTTTATTTTATTACATATGGGGTCCTCTTTCCCTTGTGGCCTATCGGCCACTAGGACAAAAAGGCAAGAGGCAGTAGTGGGCAACAGAAAGCTTAGTAGGTAGCCCATGAGCATGAATGGAGGAAGGCCTCCAGGAGACAGACCAGTGAATCAGCTCAGTTTTATTCCAGAGTATAAAGAATATATAGTGAGGGGAGCCTGGGGACAAACCCTAATTTGCATGAAGTGGCACGCTCCTATCATAAGGCTCCTAGCACAAGTCTTAGTTATCATCTGTGCAGCAAGGGAGCCTTCTAGCAGGGATCTATGTCAGGGTTCAAGGTAAAGATAAGTCAGGCGTCTGGTTTAGATAAGGTCAGTCCTTCAGGCCCAGGGACACTTTCCAGATAAGAGGGGTTAGAGGCAGGAAGTTCTGCTGGAGGGAGGGAGCCCTATGTTGTCAAGATACTGAGATAAACTGCCAGGCCATCGGGAGACTGTCACCTCTATCAGTCAGCAAAAATCTTCCAACGTTTTATGTGTATGAATATTTGCCTCAATGTATATAAGAGCACCATGTGGATACCTGGTACCCTAAAAAGCTATAAGAGGGTATTAAACCCCTGGGACTGGGGTTACAGATGGTTTTGAGCCATCATGTAGGTTCTGGGAACTGAACCCCTCCAGGTCCTCTTCAAGAGCAGTGGATGCTCTTAACCCTTAAGCCACCTCTCCAGCCCCTCCTTTTCACTTTCTTGATGGCGTATTGTACATACAAAGGTTTCTAAGTTTGATAAAGTTCAATTTATCTACCTTGTACTTACGGCATTTTTATCTAGGACACTTCTGCCAAGGTTACAAAGACTTACTCCTTTAAAAAAATTTTTTCCTTTTTGTATCTTTAGCTCTTATATTTGGGTATCTGATCCATTTACATGTAGTAAAAGAGAGCTAACTTCATTAACTGGCATGTGGACAGTCATACTCATCTATTTTTGTTTTTAAGTTTAATTTAGTGTTTCTAGGCAAGGTTTTCTACACCAAGAGAAAACAATTTAGGTAATCTGATGCAAAAAAGAAAAAAAAAAAGGAAGAAGAGGTATGTACTAGTACTTAAAAGATGGCTGGGCCTCACAAATACTGGAATAAGCATCTTAGACTGCTTTCTTCCACATTTATTTTCCATCTATACCATTTTGTCTCTGTGGACCAACCTCTTCCTGTTTCTCCCAATACAAAGCTGGAAATGGCTATAGATATGTTCTTCTTTTTTTTTTAAATTAATTTTATTTATTAAGTATACAGTACTCTGCCTGCATGTATGCCTGCATGCCAGAAGAAAGCGCCAGATCTCATTACAGATGGTTATTAGCCACCATGTGGTTGCTGGGAATTGAACTCAGGACTTCTGGAAGAACAGCCAGTGCTCTTAATCACAGAGCCATCTCTCCAGCCCCCAGATATGTTCTAAGTCTTTACAACTTCTAAATAAGACTGGCTGTTATTGACTCACTATAAAACCCAGTGAGCTTGGGCCAAAGTCTATTTTCATCCTTGATCCTATTACATGTGGTTAAAAAGAGGGACGGACGGACGGCTGCAAGTAGGACACATACATCATCGGGGAAAGAAGCACCGCACTTGTCAGAGGTGAGAATGCCTCCTGCGGGCATTCTCTTTGCTTAAAATCTCTTAGAAAATAGGCAATGCAAAGAAAACCAAGGGGATTCTACTATGACAGCAAAAAGTGATTTTAAAGATAAGTTCAGATGTTAGAAAAATTTAAAGTTATTTTTGATAGTTAAATCACCTGAAAGGAACAATCACAGGCAGTAAAGTATTAATCTTTTATAGTCTGG